GAGGAGGAGGAGGAGGAGGAGGAAGGCATTTCAGAGGGCAGAGGCTGAGCCGTGCGAGGGGGCCGAGTGCTGGAGAAAGAGGGCGTCGAGGCTGGCTGTATGCACGCACCACTGGGCCGGGGGATTTTACCCTCAGCCCTCCACCTGCACCACAGATTAATGGTTTACAGGCTGCACTAACTGTTGGTGAATTATGAGCTAAGGCCGAGCAGACGCTGGCACGCAGACAAACAACTCCTCAGAGCTCTCAGGCCCCGCTTTGCTCTCCCAATAACAAATGTCTTCTCCTTTGTTGTGTTGCACCTATAACGCGTTCTCTCCTTTGTGTGTGTGTCCTGCAGCAGGTGCAGACTACTCGGGTCAGTCCTACAGCCATTCGCCCTACACCTCCTACAGCGAAGCCTGGAGGTTCACCAACTCCAGCATCCTGGGTGAGTACGAACGCGCCGACAGTAATGACAGCGTTTGTGAAACCGCGTTTCTCTTGTTTGTTTACCGCCGCCGAGCTCGTGCACCTCTGAATATTTATTTCTAAGATGATGAATGTGACCTTCACAATAAAAGACGGAGTTTATGCTAAAAAAAAAAAAAGAAAAAAAGAAAAAGAAATAGTAAAACTTTCCTCAGAATTCTGAAGGACTCTGCTGACCTTATGATTCGCAAACATTTCATCATGACTAGAATTTAAATGAGCTGCTGGCGGAGGAGTGCAAACTACCTCAGTCACACGTCATATAATGCAGTTTTCGTCCTCTGTAGAAACCATTAGTCCCATTAGTTACTGGGAATCACTTTAGCTACTGTGCTCTGTGTTACTTTTATGTATTTATATGTATTGTTTCACCTTTAATTTACCATAACAGTGCCAGTAAAGCTGTAGATTTCTTTTTAAAGTTGCAGACAAAAAATAAATAGTGACAAATTATTTAAAAATGCAAGAAAAAATAATTATTTACTAAGTTTACAATCACATACTGAAATTTGAATTGCTTTTACAGATTATTCCAGAAAATGTTAAGGGTTACGAACATAACTCACTTCATACAATTTACATTTTGTCTGTCATGTCATATAGTGCCATTTTTGTCTTCAGTAGAAACCATCAATCCCATTAATTACTGGGATTCCCTTTAGCTTCTGTGCTCTATATTACTTTAATTTATATTTATATGTATTGTTTGACCTTTATTTTACCATAGAAACACCAATAATCCTATCTGTGTTTTCAAGGTTGCAGACAAAGCAATGAAAAATGTGACAAATAAATCAAAAATAAACAAAGAAGGAACTCATTTACTGGGTTTACAGTCACATACTAAAATTACTTTTACAGACTGTTCTGGACAATATGGAGGCTTTCTGATATATTTAACTTGTACAAATTAGATTTATATTAACTTTTGTCCAAATCAAAAAGATAGAGATTCCCTTTAAGAATAGATCAACTCTGTTCCATCTTCTACCTGACATGAGGGACAAACAGCAGATTATATGTCTTGTAGTTTGAGATTATGCTCCTAAAATGAACTTGCACCATGTTATCCCTTCATAAAGACAAGAACATTTGATAAAGGAGTTCTTTTTAAGCACAGAAGCGTGTTAGTCGAGTGCCTCCAAACAACCCGGCGTGAAAAGGAAAGTCCTGCATCACTCATATTACTCCTCTGAACATTACTTAAGAGTCATGTGGGGGGCTCAGACTCTCCAAGCTGCTCAGACACTCCGCTCAGCCATCTGCCGTCAAACCTGAGATAAGATGGCTAAAGAAAGTCTGATCCCAACAAAACACCTTCCAGTTGTGACGGCCTCCATCTGTGTCTCCCCCCGCAGGCTCACCTTATTACTACAGCTCGGCCTCCCGCACAGGACCACCGTCTGCGGCCGCCTACGACCACCTCTAGTCTCCCCCCTCGCTGCTGCTGCGTGGACAGACTCGGTGCTGATGGACCTTCACACTGGAGAACTTTTAACATCAGCTGACACACGGACCAAGGCATGAAGTCAAAACTGGATGTGAACTTGAGACTCTGCTGTTGAAACCAGCAATGCATTGTGTGTTTTTTTTTTACTCCATCCTCTCATGGTCTACCACACCTCCTTCTATTTATTTGTCGTTACTGACACCAGTCCCCAGGGTAACTGTGACTCGTGCACGTTTACACATTGCTAACACTCTCCAGGGCCTGTTTCCAGAGACTCAGCCTGACGTCTCACGTGGTGCATATTTTCAGTATAAATCTCTTTTAACACTGTTTTTTGGCCAAAGACTTGTTTTTTTTCTTTCTTTCTTTTTCTGGCACATCTGCAACTTGACTCCACTGATCCAGTGAATATGGATATGCAACTTCTTTATACTGAACTATGCCTGCTTTGTTTACAATGCTCTTTTTTTAAGAAAAAAAAAAGGAAAAGAAAAAGTGAATCCTGTCCTATCATCACAAATCTATTCTTGATCTATGTCTGCTTGCAAATTAAGTTTGTGATTTGTTTTCACTGTAAATTCAGATTTCCTGTAGTGAACATAGACTAATAAGGCGACACATTGAATCACAATTACAACAAAAATGCCCCACATATGCCCCTTGAAGACAATTAATGTATCTGTCTAGCAATATGTACATACTGTAAATGATGAATTACTTATGGGAGAAGTGATGCAATTTTACTCAGAGAATGACGGATGAGTTTTAGGGGAGGGGGGGAGGGAGGGGATTGATGATGGTGATTTGGCTACTAAAACCAACAAGGCTTGAAATACATTTGTTTTTGCTTCGAATAAATTTAGTTTGCTGTCATGCTGATGTTCTGATGTTTGGTAAAAACTGTGACTATTTTTTCTTATACTGTTATTAATATTATTGCAGATGTAAATAATGAATTTCTAAAGAATTATTTTAATTAAAGCATGACAAATTTATGGCTGTTTTCACTGGAGTTGTTTTTTTTTTTTTTTTCCCCAAGTATTTTTTAAAGCTAAAAGTCAAATGCAGAATATATTTGTAAGGCAATAGTAATACATTACGTTTAAGCCTAATCTTAAACACCTTTTACTAAAATAAAAAAAGTATTGTTATTATTATTATTATTATTATTATTATTATTATTATTATTATTATACTGACAGGCTCAATCTGCTGCCAAATCTGAAATGTTTCTTTCCTTTTTTTATTCTTTTTCTTTTTTCTTTTTTCTTTTTTTTTTTTTTAGCAACTCTCAGCATTTTTAAAAGGACGAGACCAATGATCCTGAAAACGCGCGCATCTGTTTAATTTCTTTTTTTATTTTCTGCATCATGTAGTTTTATTTGCAATTATTTCGTCCCTTTTTTTGCGGCCTCATTATTGCAGCGCGTTAACGAGGCCACGGTTCGCCGGTGCCGCGGCCCACCTGGTGCCACCGCGCGGGACGCCCGCGAGGATGATGGAGAGGGGGAGCGGCCGCGCGCTCCGTGGCAGGCTCGCGCGCGTTTGGTTCAACCGCTTAACGAACGCTAACTAGCAGCTCGTAACTAAGGCGACGGTGACACGGTGTTTCATCGCATTTGAAATCAAATTTTTACGTAGATGTTTATTTATATATTTGTTTTTATGTACGTGTTAAAAATAAAAATTATTATCATTATTGTTATAGGCGCCAAAATATTTTTTAAAAATTCATTTATTCGTTTTTACGACACTATTTCTCGCCACAAAGTCCCTTTATAAACTTCTGTAGTGACCCAGCAGATAGAGTTGCCTCTTTGTATTTCTATTCCATGGATTTAGCCATAAATAATATCTTTATATCCACTGTTTATACTTTATTTCCCCCCTTGTAGTCATATTTCCATTCATCTTTTTTTATATTATTTATCCAGCACACTTACATTACCTACAGCTTATTCTAAATCTATATTTGGTGTGTTCATAGACTGTATATATCACTTTTACATTTTGGATATTCGTTTATCTTTCATACTTACAGATGCTGTTCATACTGTCATAACTAATACTGTTTTTCTTTATATATTTAGCATATTCATACCCGACTTAGACATTTTATTAAGAAGCTAAACTGTATTTTGTTGTCTTACTAGACTACCTCTACTCAGTGCAGTGACAATAAAGTCAAATCTAATCTAAATTGATTTAATATAATCCAATAATAAATATAAATCTGATGATAACAATAGTTTAAATCATAAAGAGCCTTTATAGGTAAAATATAATTGTCATAATTTTTCTTTTTGATCAAATATTTCTTTATTTATTCTATGGTGTATGTGTTTTCTGATATTTAGGGATTCAGTATTCATTGTGACTCAAAAATGGCCCCATTTTTTTTTGTTTCAAACATTTATTATTATTATTATTTATAGAAACTTTAATATTCCTGTTGGTGGGGATTTGAACTCGATTCAGCCTCTGCGCTCTGTGGTCTCATTAGACCACTGTAATCTCCGCAGTAATCTTCAGTTCACGAACTTCTGCGCAGTTCATGGCCTAATTCATCTTTAAAGCACCCCTCAAACCTAATTATATAACTCTTGAATCAGGACGTATGAATGGTACGGCCTGACCTCTCAGACAATCACTTAAAGTCTTCAGTATCAGTTCAGTCGGAGCCGTGTGAGCTGACGAAGATCAGCCCTGACGTCTTTCTGTTTACTGTATGCACTTCTCTTTCTCTCCGTCTCTCCGAGCCTTCAATCTCCTCACATTTCACCATTTTCCTGACTCACCTCTTTACACCCCTCTCTTTGTATCCCCTCTCCTCCAGCCGCACTACTGTACACTCCGCATACTGCCCTGTAAACTTTAAACAATAGCTGCACTTCATCCTTTTGTTGTCCAAGTGGTCTGGCCCACTCCAGACAGCCCATCAACCGGACCCACTCATTCTTTCCACGTCCCTGCTCAGGCATGCAGAAACACACACGACGTCCATATACATTCATACATGGAGAGCAGCTTTCAGGTCCGTGTGCCTCACAGGGACGAGGCGAACCTTTTAGGCGGACCTGTTTTCAGAAAAAATTCCTCGGCCAGCTGACGAGCAGCCAGAGAAATAACTGCAGCAAATGTTAAACATTAACAGTCCTACTGCCAAAAGAGTGAAAAACAAAACATTATACTGCTACGCACAAGCCACAGCAGAAATAACTCCTCTCTGTCTCTCCCCGGGCCTATTAGTGAGGAGGTTTCGGGCCACAGTGCTTCTGGTAATGAGCCCGGCAGCACAATACAGGCATCGGGCCGGAACAGCTGAGGGCAGACAAAGCTGGCAGGACGGGGCGACTGGGACTTACTACATTTAACACAGAGCCATACTAACACTGAGTCTGTGTGCGTCGAGATGGACAGACAGAGCAAGAATGTCTATCCATGTGTGTGTTTGTGTGATATAACAGTGTGTGTGTGTGTGTGTGTGGGGCAGGAGAAGGCATGTGTCCCATTACCATTATCGGGACAAACTAAAAGACAGAACGGGGGCCCCTGGAGAAATTGCTGCCAAAAAGGCAACAGAGGAGTGTGTGGCAATCAGTGGGATGACGGGTCGGGGTTGTCCTGCGCCAGTCATCTGGAAAGTTCTCCACTTATCTCTGGGCCCGAGACACTGGCCAACCAATTCAGTCCGGCAAATAAGAATTATGTAGGCTGACAGAATTTGTCCGTCCAAATGAGCTGCAGAACACGCTGTTGTTTTAAACTGTGAATGGCAGCGCTGCTGTCTCGGACCCGCCCGGCCCAGGCTTTTTGAGCAGACCCAGATTATGCGAGCGAACCCATCATCTTGTTTATTAATTGGTTTGGATGAAGCACAGCTCATTATTCTGAAACTTCTGTGGTCTGTTTTACATGAAGGCAAACTCTGAATCTCCCACAGACATCCGCTTCTCATTGTACGTTTACAACACAGCTACACGGGTAAGTATGTTTCAACAGAACTGCTCGTCAGATTGTTGACCAGCATCTGAATCCTCATCCTTCTTGACACGTTCCCAAAGATGGAATTTAGACGAGTTGTGTTCGAGTGTTTGTGTAATTCGGATAGACTTCACGCAGCAACTATCTAGACGTGAGGCGACAAGAAATCTGGTAGCACTCTTGAGCTTTTGTCATTTTTCATGTGTGCAACACCATCAATGCATTCAAGGAAAGTTTGTCTGAATGTTATCTTCATATTTAATAGCCATCAAGTCTTGACTCACTTTCAAGTGATTCTGTTTCAGATATACTCTGGTCCTCAGTATCTACAGCGACGCATCCTCTGTGAGAAAGTGCTTGTACCAGCTAAGTGAGGAGAGCATCCTAACACGCTCAGAATGAAAACCAACCTGATATCTAGTAGGTATAGACTTCTAATTTTACTCTCTCAATTTCGTGTTTTAGCATGCATATATTTCCGAAAAACAGAAAGTAAAATGTGCAATCAAAAACTTCTGAGTCTGAGCAAAAACCCTACATGGTTTTTGTCCATCTCCTCCCTCAAAACCACCTTCACAGTGATGCACTGCTCCCAGTGCTCCTGCAACACTTAGAAAAGCTCCACAGAAGTCCATGTGTGGAGCTACGTCAAGCAACATCAGAATGCAAGCTTGAATTTTAACATTAGTTTCATTTTTTGGGAAGAAGAAGTCACATGGAGAATCTGCCAGTTGGTGTGGGTGGAAAGTGATGATTGTGCTGTTTTCTGTTGTGGCCAAAAACCAGTTTTAACCTTCTGTCAGCAGTCATGTGTTGGCACGATGTAGCTCCCAGTCGCTGAACTGACAACCTTAAACAACCTGAACTGAACAACAGCTCCAACTGCTCCAAATGTTGTTCGTCAGACACCTCAGAAAGTTACAGTAAAAGTCGACACTAAGCTCATAACCCTGTGAACATAGAAGAAAGCAACAAGCACCTTCCTTTAACCTCGGAAACTGTGGGCTTTTACACTGCAAATAAGCTGTTTGGTCTCTGGATGGTAGCTGCAGACTGATCTCGTCACCATCAATGATCTTCAACATGAAGGTTGCTCCATCCCAAGCTTGTCGACAGAGATCCCAGCAGACTGCCTCTGCAGGTCCGTGGTGAAATGAGCGTCTCCAAGTGGTCACAAAAACTCATGTAACTCACGTGACAAAGGTCCAGATGCTGATCGTGTGACATCATTCAGATACGTGACTCATGAGTGATACGGCTCACACCTGTTGCGTGATTTTTGTATAACAGGAAATCTTGTACTGCAGGAATGTCACTCATTTTGCATGTATTTAGTCATTAACCAAAGTATTGGATAAATTAAAATTTAACCTGCTGAGGTCACTGAGACAGAAGGCAAAGGATCACCAGAGTTGGAAGAGTTCATCCTGTGGGAGGCAAGAATATCTGTACCAAAAACGTTCCAATCTTTCAGACACATCGTCATCATGGCTTTGTGCTAATTTTTGAACTAAGCATCCAATACATGTCCTGATAATTCACCAAAATCCTAAAAAATCAACGCCATTGTGGAACTAGCTGTAAAGTTTGTAGGATTTATTTTAAAATGTGAAACTCTGCCCAGAATGCTGTGATGTTTGACAGATAACTGGAACACTTCTTGCTGACCGAGATGAAAAGTCCCCATCCGTCAGAATTCTCCCCGAACCAACTAACCGATCAATCCGAACGTCGGTATAAAGACGCTTCACGAGCCCGAAAGAAGAAAAAAAAAAAGGTCTCAGAACACCTGAGCAGACTTCAAATAATAGCGCCTTCCTCAAATTTCAAGAAGCTATCTAATCTCCTCCACCTTTAACCATAATGCACCTGGAACAAATGTGCCAGTCAAACAGAGCAAAGTGGCCAAACAGAGGGTGTTTCTGTGCGGAGGGAGGAAACACAGGTGCCCTGTGTATGACCGGCCTATTAAACAACACACAGACCCTGAAGGCAGGAAGCTGCTATTGACTGGGAGACATCAAGGAAAACGCACCTTTGAAAGCACACACACACACACACACACACACATCCAACACTATACACACACACCGAGGTGGATAAAATCTTGCAGGTATCAGGTGCTGCCCCGAGGGAGCGGGTTGACCTGCGGAGGCCGACGGAGTCAAACACACAGCTGACAAATACCTCATTCAACATCGCATAGACGCGTCGATTGTACTGATTCATCCCCCGAGTGGAGGAACAGACGCGAATGTATAATATGTGAACAGATTGACTGTCGGGGTTAAAACCGATTCCGGTTTACGTTAAAATGAGATAAGATGGAGGAGATTATGGCTCACAAACATTCTCGCTCCGCTCTATATGTCGCATTAACCCACGCAGACTTTAAGCTCCCCGTCCGGTATGTTTGTCCTGCATCTAAGAAAGCCGCTGAGTCTGCGCCCGAGGAGTGTTGTCAGGGGCAGGAGTGTGTGTGGTAGAGGAGAGGGCAAAAAGAGGTCATGCGTTGAAATGCCCTTAAGCAAGGCACTTGTCTTAACTCTTTCACAAGAGGCTCCTTTTGCTACAAAAAGCAAAAGAGTTATTCTTGCTCGGACTGGGTCTGCTTGGCAAATAAAATGAAAACGTCTGAAGCGGGGAAGAAAAGAAAAAAACACAAGGAAGATGTTTTTCCTCATACATGAAACCATATCGAGTGTGTCTGGCTCCGTAGCACGTGTACGTATGAGTGGATGCTGAATAAGTAGAGAATAAGAGCGGAGTTAATGTCACAGTAAAAGAGGTGAATGGAGTCTGAGTGGAAAAACAAAAGCACCACACAGAGACTTCAAGGGCCCTGGACAGTGAAAGACACATCACAAGAGCAGCAGTCAAGAGCAAAAAAAAAAAAAAAAGGGATGGAGACCACCAAGGAGGGTGGAGACAAAAAAAAAATGTTTTTTTCAATCGTCCGAGTGGGAGAAATCGAGTGTTAGTGCAGATAAGAGATAAAAAGTACCAAGTAGAGCGTGCGAGGCGTCGGCAGCAGATGGAGAATGTGCATCAGGAGGAGCATTGAGGGCAGAAAAAAACACCCCGGGATGAATGAGGGCGTTTACTGTACAGTTTATGTTTGCTGGCAGTGTTTTTTAGGTGTTTATATATAATGAGCGTTTCAGAGCCAATGTGGATGTTGAGCAATGTTCAAAGCAACATTGTGCGTGACAGAGAGGAAGGAGGAGGAGGAGGCAAGTGTTTAAAAAAGAAAAAGCAGAAGTGACCTTACGTGTCGGGGTCCTTTTTGGAGCCCATGCTGGACAAGCCCCTAATGATCACAACTTGAGCTCTTGCCTTTTTAATTACCCACCCAGGCCTGACTGAGTCGCACAAAGCTCGAGAATGGAGTGGCGCAGATGGAACAAAAAAAAACAAAAAAAAAACAGGCCAGTTCCTTGGGACGGATGCCCTCTGAACCCAGCAGCTAATGCAGCCCCTGCTGCTCCAGCCGGTCATTATTGTCGTTGGAGAGCAGCAGAGAGATGGTACTCCAAAACAAGGCCACCACCACTGCTGAAGTCATGGTCCACAGGCCATGTGAGAAGAGCTTTTTAGTCGAGAGCTGCTCGGTGACGCCAGCACCAAGCGACCGCCTTCAGCGCAGATTGTGGCCCGGAATGTAACATATTATTAAACATTTCAATTTGATGTGAAAAACAAGGGGCGCTAATGGCTGCCTCTCGCTGCAGCGTTCTGTCACAGGCCCGGGAGCATGTAGGTTAGCCGAGACGGCGTCGCCCCTCTCAAGGTGCTGCGACGGCCCCGGGCCCCTGTCACTCATGTGGCCAATCAGTCACCCTCATCTGCAGAATCTGACTTTATCTTAATGAGCTTGTTGTTATTCCTCTCAATGAATGGAGGCCGTTTGCATTCAGAGGACAACAAGCTGAGCATTATCACCACAGTCAGAGGATCTCGATGTCCGTCCGTCACAAACCGATCTGGATTTACTTCAGGTTGCGCCTTGATCCGGTTCGGACACCCAGACAGGACAGTGCGTCCCCCGTCTGTATTGTCTGTGCGCTTCATTGTGTTTCCTTTTGTCACATCGCATTCCTGTGTGAGGGATGTGTGTGTGTGTCGGTGTGCGTTTGTGGAGTGTGTGTTTAGGAGAGGAGGGGGCTTAATACCAGACATCCTGCTCTTATTGTCGATCGCCCCAGGTCGACCGCCGCTCGACATGTCGGGCCGAAAGGCCACAAAACAAGCCCCGTGTCACTGAGAGCATCACACACACACACACGGAACGCACACTTACAACTCTGCTTTACAGTCTAACACTACAGACACCGATCAGTTTACAATAATAACCACAGTTGTACCAGGGTTGGTTCGGCTCAGACGGGGCCTTCGGGGGGGTTGACCACACACAGTACAGTGAAGGCTACGAGTCTGTGACACCTTTTCTAACAGAAATCTAAGTTTTTCTGTTATTTCTCACCATCTGATGAACAAAAATACTTATTATACTATTTAATCAATCAACAAAACAGATTAAAAACTATTTGAATTGCTATTTTAATTCTTAGTTCTTATCATTTTGGTGCTTGTGATTTTCCCTGGGCTATTGTATTTTGACTATTTGATTTTTTTTTTTTTTTTTAAGTGACCTAAAAAGTTGTTGTTTTCACACTTGATTCAATGATCATGACTCAAACATTAAGTTTTTAAACACCATTTTCATGGGTCTGCAACCCTCCTTTATCCTGTAATTAATGCTTTAAAATCGTTCCTCCTTGAGCTTAATTTTAAAGTTCTGTGGAAAACACAGAAGATTTCATAGAAGAAAAGATACGTTTCAGGATTAGAAAGCACATTTTGAGAAAACACAAGAGGTTGGGAGCAAGACGACAGATTCAGTGATGGAGGAAGGTCCACACACGTCACACATCTGAGCTGGTAAAATCATTCTTGGACTGAAAAAGACGTGATTGGCCAACATGACATATTGTGCTGTACCTCTCTAGTTCATGATACTATTTAAAAATATTTAAATATAAAGGATATATCTTTAGTATTTATTGAATCGTATCATTAATTGTAGATATAATGGAGTCATGTAAACACTCCGGTGTTCTTGTTCCTCGTCATGTCGATCATCTGTCTAATGAGGATCCTGTGGAGTCACAACGTTTACCGAGTTGCAATCCAAAGTGTTGACTTTTTTTTTCCCGAGGAAGCACATTTTGTAGTCAATCTAACAAAGAAAAAAAAAATACTGACTATACTGGTCAGCTGCATAATTCCTGCTAACAAACACAAGTTCAGTGTGTTTGTTGTGTGCTGAGATGTTAATAAGAAAGCAACAGAACAAGCTTCATGTTTTGAAGTTTAAAAAATATAAAACCAGCGATACAGGATTTAACAAAACCAACATCTTATGTGGCTTAAAGTTTACAAAAAATATTGCCCTGAATTTGGAGGAAAAATAAGTCCCAACATGTTCCATTGATGAAGTATTTTTTGCACACATTTCACTTTTTTTTTGGTAGATAATCTGACGTTAAAACTCTAAATGAAAAAACTAAATGATTGTTTTTAGGCTGTTTGAACTCTATTAAAGACGACAGTGAATAACAGAAGCTGAAACCAAGAGCATTCTCACCATCACTAGTCTTACAATATGGAATAATCTACATGGGCAACGTTTTATTTTTAAAAAGAATCCTTCATTTAAACAAAGTGTGTAACACTTCAGAGGCATTTATGCCAACAAACATTTTAAACGCAATATAAAGAATAACAAAAGTGCAAATAGGATTTTTTTGAAAGAGAAAACTGTCAGAGCCTATCTTTGCCTTGACTGTCATCAGAGACGTCCTGTACTACAGCATCCTCTTGTGGTTTACATGTTAAAGGCACATTTTCACACAAAGTCCAGCATTGTAAATGTTTAAACTATTCTGCCTACTAAAAAAAAGACCAAAATGTTTTAGCAAAACTAAATAAATTAGGTCCGTACATGTTACTTCACTCAACAAACGGATCAGGGTGCCCCCTCTGTCCAGAGAGAGTTTGAGGGTTACGGTTTTTCCCTGAGGCGGATTTTCGTAAAAGTGCACAAGATCAAAATTCTGAAAAACGCTAAAACAAAAACAGTAACATTCTGAGGTGGTTCACAGATGTGACTTTGGTATTTCTCTGCTTCTACAAAAAGCTGCCAGCAGAAATCAGAAGGCCACAAACTGCTCCTCCTGCCTCAGGCCTCTTTGTTCAATCGAGGGATGATGACCCTGCGGTAAGTCCGTCTCTCAGAGATGTTGCGTCTGACTTTGACCACCGTCGGAGTAGGCACCTCCAGCTCCAGAGAAGGGCTGGAGTAAGACTTTTTCAGCGCCCCTTCCTCCTCTTCCTCCTCGCCCACAGAGTCTGCACACACGGCTTTATCAAACAGGTTCAGGTCTGCGGTGGTCAACTCGCTGTCGCCAGACTTCTTCATGCTCTTCCAGGCCTCCAGCACCTGGATGTAGCTCTCGTAGCGACAAACCTGTGGAGGGTTTGAACAGACACACAGTCAACTGTCTGTCTTTTTATACTCATTTAAACACTCTCTCACTCACAGCTCTTTCATTACCTCGTGCTGCAGGTACTCTGATCTGACACGATGCTCCTCCAGATCTTTGGATTTGGCTTTCCTGCCCTCTGGTGGGTTCTCCTGCTGGTACGACAGGTCCGCCCTAAAGGACTCCAGCATTCCTGAATGAGACTTCAGCTGATGTTCCTGCACAGGGAGAAGGACAGAGGAACAGATTACGGGTGGTCTGATATGAGGTTTTTGTTCAGGGCCTACATACAAAATACTAACATATATTTGCAATAAAAATGACAATTTTGGTGTCAAAATTCAATTCAGAATAACAAATGTCTTTGAAATGCCTCTGTTAGTAATATATTTTTTTACAGATCTTTAATTTAAAATAAAACTTCCCAACATTCATCTTTTAGTTTTGAGACGCTTGACTCTTGAAGTGTAACCAATCAGACAGTGCTGTGGGTGGGACAAAACTCAAGATCACAGGTTGGTGACTACAGATAGGAGGGGACAGCAGCTTTAGAGGTAAATTAACACATACCTTAAATAACTAATTTTATCAGAAATCAGTGATGGAAAACAAAACTACCGATAGTTAAATATATACCAATAGTCAGTCAACCCCTTGCAAAGATAAAAGGTTTCATATAAATACCCTTTTTTCCAAAGCCTTTGAGAAACAAACAGTAAGAACAGAAGGAAAATATTTTGCAGAAGCAAATTAGCTTCAGCTGTATGTCTGATGCTTATCTGTATGTTACACAATATACATCTGCATGGTGCCTGTTAAAAAAATATGTTGATCCTCCTGACATGTTCAGAAAGATTTGACTTAATTTTGTTTGAATGCAAAGTAAGACCATGTAACTTTTGAAGGAAAAGTAATTATAAAAGCTAGATGATGAGAAATTAAACCGTTTGGCTGCTGCACTTGGTCTGGTAAAACCAGTAGCTTAGACGCTTATGTTAGTTAACTCTCACTTTAATGAGATAAAATATTTGTTATGGTCATATGATATGATCAGAACATTTTTATGAAATTAATGTGTAAAGCTGTATTCTATGCTAGCCTGTAAAAACAACCATTTTTGCTGTATTGTGTTTTTGAGGTTTCTGATGTTAGATGCAGTGAGATACAGAAACTAAGTTCAAGCCTATAATATGTTGAGTAAGAGTTTTTAATTCGGAATAAAAAGCATTTCTAGAGCAGCACATAGAATGTAGTTTTTTGGTATCCATTGTTAAAGTCTGACACCTCAGAGGGGACAGTGCAGCTCGGATTGTTGTAAAATTGTAGGAATCAAATCTGTGGTCTTCTCAATTGTTTAATATGTATTTTGAGCGGAAAAACCCCCCCAACAAAACACTAAAAATAACACATCCCAAAAAGGTATAAAACAGAAACATTTCAGTACAAAACCTGGAAAAATGACTCATCATTATAAATAAATCAGTGCCACCAACAAAGGGAGGTGCGTACCAGAGTGTTAGCAGACTGCGAGGCGGGGAGGATCGGTCGGCAGAACCTCCTCTGAGAGCCGACAGCGGCGGGGAACGGAGGCGACGAGTGAAGAGCTGAGACCAAGTTGATGCGGCTGATCCACGAATTCATCTCCACTTTGGACCTGAGAGGAAAACAAATACATGCTCTGACGCCGACGGCTGAGCTTCTTAGCACAAACACACACACACAGTCTGACACTTACGAGGCCTGAAAGAGAAAAACCCTCCAGTCGGCCGTCTGCAGGCGAAAGACGTGCGGCTTCTTGATGTAATCGGCCGCCTGCTCAGCCAGAGAGTGATGCACGCTCACCACTTCCTCGTTAGTCGGCTGATCCCTCCGATAATCGTCCTGAAAATCAAAGAAATGTATTTACAATCACAGAAGAGACAAAAGAAAAACATTTAGATAATTAAACCAGGAGGCACTGACCTTCTGTAAGTAAAGGACCATTCCCTTCAGCACACCGTAGAAAGTCTTCCAGCCTCGTTTCCCCCAAGGAGCTGCCACAGAAACATTCAGCAGATACACTAAGATCAGCTACTGTTGGCTCATTTTCAACTCCAAGGGGCAGTCAGAAGTAGAGAAAAGGTAAAACTGTCTTTTGTGCAGTATAACAAAGCTTTAACAACATAAATAATAATAACATAAAAATATAAAGTTGCATTTTTTGGATTATTTATTTCACCAAAATTAAAAAACCTACAGTCAACATATAGAATATGTCTCTGAGTGCTGCCAGGTGTTAAGAATAGTAGCTTAAAGTGGCAACTCAACATATTATGGATATTTTACCACTTTTTTAATACAAATTCTTTGTTTTTACAGTTTCTGGTTCTGATAAATGGTGAAATTTTTTATTTTGTATTTTTTAAAGAGATCTGGTTGCTGAGGCGCAAAGGGTTAAAAAATAAATCTCACTACGCTGCTGTCTTATTTGCATCCTCATTTTGACCTGTAGGAGGCATAAGCTGTCTATGATAAGAGGTTAAACACCTCCTGACTTCAGATAATTGACTGGAGTGATAACAAATGTCTAAACAATATCCGTAAAAATTCAAAATAATTTCACTCAATTTTCAAAACTAAGTCCACATCTTTAAAACAAAAACAATGGGTGAATTCATTTCTGTTTTTACAGTAATAAATTCTTCTAATTTTCTGTTGCGAGCTGCCTAAATTTTGCAAGACACACCCTGAATTTCAGAAACCATCCTCAGCTCACCTTAACCCTATTCAGGACTTGTGGGGTCTTTTGGACCCCAGGCCATTTGGTTTAGGTGACAAGTATTGTTTTTATATATATGTAAAAAGAGGGACATTTGTCAGGCATTTGGAACCAAAAATACGTCAACTTATCATAGTATAAAAGTCTATAATGAACACCAACAAATATTCTGCACATATTCTTTTTTGGGGTCCAATTGACCCCGAAAGATCTTCTATGTATGGAAACATGAAGTCCTGAATAGGGTAAATTTATCTTTCTGCACATAACATACTGACTGACCGACACCAAACTCCATCTGGCATAGTATCTAATGTTTGTGTCTAAATAATACCGACAACAGTGACACTCATCAGTGCATCCGTTTGTGTTTCCAGAGCCGCTACAGGAGCAGGACACTGAACATTGTCTGGGACTCCTCACACCCTCTCCATAAACTGCTTGAACTGCTGCCATCAGGCAAACGTTTCTGGAGCATTAAAGGAAGAACCTCCAGAATGATGAACAGCTTCATTCCACAAACCATCAGAATGCTGAACTGCTGATCCAGATATGCAAACACTTCTGTATTTAAATTACTTTAAGGTTTTGAATCCTGTAGAAACACTCTCTCATCTTGCCTGTACTACTGTGTATATACAGCAAAATGACAATAAACTTTTGCGCCTCACTCACTGCGTTTGCCGTCGATGTCGGCGTGGAGCTTTCTCTGGAGGAAACCCTGCTTGACCACAGAGGCCGTTTTGTCGTGAGGAACGTCCTGGAAGGGGTTCGCTTTCGATCGCAGCGGCGCATCTTCGCCTGCGTCTTCATCCAGCAGCACGGAGTTCTTTAGCTCCTCCTCATCACTTCAACACACAGTCGAAGAACACGGTTATACATGTGAATCAAGGATTGGTGAGAAAGAACAGGTGGCGTTTATATATCAGTCCACTTACACAGCCCATTCCAGGGGTTCACTCTTTATGGAATTGTAAAGACTCTGCAGAGCACATGGAAAAAAAGGTTAAGCTTTCAAGATGTTAGCTTTCTTTCTGTGTTTTATTAATAGAAATATGTGTGGCAGGCAGTATTACTTTAAGCAGATCCTTGCTGAAGTTTTCTCCTTCATTCATCCCATCCAGGTTGGACACAAACTTGGAAGACGACATGGATTTCCCCACATGCTGTTGAAACACACAAAACATGTGTCTAAATGGCTCATAGATTTTTCAAACTACAAAACGCCACGTCAAGGCAAAATGTACAATATCATTAATCATTTATTTCACAGTTGTAAATGTCTCTCACCTGTCCATGCAAGTCAGTATTGAGAAGCATCAAAGCACATGTCAGAGCCAACACGGAGCCTGGAGATGAAATAAAGAGTGATGACAGATGAATGTGCTACATGTGGGTTCTCACTGCTGTATCACCCAATACAGCAAAATCAAGTAAAAAGCCTGACCTGAAGAGGAGAAGGAGTCGGGGTTGCACTGTTGGAAGCGGCAGGAGAAATGCTGCAGCACGCGCTCTCTCTCCTGGGTCTCTCCGATCAGCACCACCACCTTCAGGAAGGATCTGAGAAAGAGGAATCGAAAGGAAATCAAAAGTTTAACGAGATGTTTTCATGAGCGTGTTTTGTCAGAGATGTCAGTGCATGCAAGCCGAGCTCCTCCTCTTTAATTGTCACCTCAGGGCATGATCCAGAGATTGGCCAGTGAAGTCAAAGAATTTGAGGTATTCCTCTCCAACAGCCCGACTGAAGTCATTACTAAGGAGAGAGAAAAAACAATTGATGATGTCCGATTGTCTCTCAATATGCTGGTATCTACAATAGCACAATATTCTGGGAATGATCACTAGTGTTTTAATGCAGCATTTAATCTGAAAAAGAAGGATGTGATGTTCTTGAAGGCCAAGAATTTAGAGAAGCTCATTTACCTCAACTCATGCTGTCAGAAAAAAGTCCATAAATTCGCATTAATTAACTAAAAATGTAACTTTTAAGACAAGTACAAGATATTTTAAATCTGTAGCACCCTATTAAAGTAATCATGAGGAAAATTCCAGCTGGCTTGTGCACAAATTAAAGAAAATCTTGTGTCTGCTGACCTCTGGTGGTTTAATTTCTCAGCTTGGTAACCAAAATAACTGGATGCTACACCTGCTTTAATACATTATATGCTTTTTGCTCCTAGTTTGTATCATAGATTTTCCGTTGTTATTGACTGACTTATTTTCTGACATTTAAAAAAGCACCTCCTAAGCCTCCCAGCACGAGCAGCACTCCCTACGACAAGTCAAACGATCTCTTTCCAGAATGTATTTGGTTTTAAAACCATTTTTGGAAGGCTGCCATGTATGTCAGTGAAGAGGCCGCCTGCTACTGCTGTGACTATCACGGGTGTAGCATTCGTTGTGCTTCATTCCTGTTGCATTAAATTTGGTATCGCTGTAATTGAGATTGTAAAGGCTGATTCAATAATTGATGTTGGTATTATTCGTGGTTATGAGGCTTTTAATTACTCTAATTCTTCCAAGTGTCTCTTCCTGATAGAGCCCAAAGTTGTTCGTTTTGGCCTCACAGTTATGGAGCTGATGTTTTCTCAGATATAACTTTTATTTAAAAGCTTGTAACTTGAGGGAATCGTGTAAATCTTGCGACTTTAACATATGTCACAGGATGTAATAAATACGTAATAAAGGCGTTTATGAAGAAAAGAGCCTCAGCTGACATTTAAGATCGTTCATATTGTACAGATTATGATGATTTAAGATTTTAGGGGCAAATAATTTGATAAAATCTTGAAATATTCAATGATACAGAAAATACTGCAGTGAATTCGTTTGTCATTATTTTATGAATTTTAGGAAGTTTGAAGATTTGTTTGTGAACGATGTGTGGACTCTTCTATAGTGTGAAAATGTATTTATTCACTCTGATTTTGGCTCATTTGAATTTATAGTTTTGTAAGATATAATTTGTGAGTATAAGATAACACTAAAATGTAATTAACTGTTTTTATGAGCCAGCTCTATGACTGTGTGTACTTCAGTGAAGCCATGCTTGGCATTTACAAGCCCCCACATCTGCACCTGGAAACTCCCTACAGCAGCTCTTGTCCTTTGCAGCTGCATTGCTAATAACACCATCAGCCTTCAGCTCCAAAGAGGGAAGATTAAAATGAATATATATCTGCGTGTGTGCTTACTCTTTGTCTACGTGCTTCACCACGTCCGCACGCTGAATCCCGTCCAAGTTAAACAGCCGTTCGGCGAGGCGGCGGGCCGCCTCTCTGTCCACCTCCCCTCCGTTCATGTGAAGTACAGCTGTGTCCGGGTGCTTGGGCTGCTCTCCGTTTGCCACGACTGTTTGAACATCTCCATCCTCGGGACCCCCCACGTCTTCAGCCTGATCCGGCGTCTCAGCCTGTTTGTCCACCTGGTTTAGCCGGGCCTCCTCTGTCTGCTGTGTGACCTCAGTCTCAGGAGACAGCTGCTCTGTTACTTCTGACTCATTTGTCTCGTCTGATAGCACGAGCTGCTCGGAGGCTGCTGCCTGAGACGAGTCGCTCGTTTGCAGCGACTGCTCATTCTGCTCCGATGGCTCCGTCTGTTCTCGCTGCTCCGCCGCTCCGGGGTCTTCGGCCTCTGCACAAACTGCCTGCTCCGACTGAGCGGACTCCTCTGGCTGCTCTGCATTTTCAGGCTGGGTTGATTGGTCTGTCAGTTTCATCTCTGGTGACTGGTCAGGGTCTTCCGAGTGCTGCGCCTCTGTTTGATGCGACTCCTCTGCTGGGATCTGCTCAGGCTTTTCCGCCATCTCAAGCTGCTCAGGCTCGGAGGGTTCAGGTAGTGGAACCTCTCCGTCCTGTGAAATTGTTTGGTCACAGTCTAAACAGTTTGTCTCCTCTGGTTTTTCAGCCTCCTCTAGGGTCTCTTGTGGGTTTTCTATCCTCTCCGCCTCCTGTATCGATGCTTCTTCACCGTTGTCTGCAGCCTCTGACTGTTCAGGGACCATGTCCTCACCTACATCTTCACACATTTCTGGCTTTTCACTCTCAACTTTTAGATTTTGAAGTAACTGTTCCACTATCGTAATGTCCTCTTCAGCTTCTGAGTGCAGGTTTTCCTCCAAAGGCTCTGGCTGTTGCAGATCAATTAGCTTATCTGGGTCTATGGTTATTCCAGTGTCCTCAGTTTGCAGTGGCTCTGCAGGTTCCTCCCTACAAAGTGTGGATGACATATGCAATATAGTTAATGGTAAACCAGCACAAAACACTGTGACACGATTAACATGTTGAAAGCATCCGCAGATTGCAAATGTTATGAACTCAACCCTGATTTTCAGTCAGAAAAGTTTCTTTAAGGCTGGCTTTGAATCAACATTTTTACAGATGTGGGTAAAGTTTTCATCCAAACATTTAGTGTCTCAATGTGCCTTCAGCCAGCTTTTCTGATTTTAAATTAAATGAGTTAAGAACGATCACTTCAGGGACATAGTTAGAACAAAAAAAGATGTCTTCCATGTAATATATTCAGTTTGTTTTGGTGTTAGATGACAAAAAAAACTAAATATTATGAATGTAACAAGCGGACGACATTTAAAAGTAGCTTTCAGAGGTAACAGCAATGTGTCCAGCTTTCTAATATTCTCTCACCAGTTTAGAGAACAGGTAAGGTTTAATCATTCAATTAGAACATTTTTGGCAAACTCATAGCTGCGTTATCAAATTGTTCCATTGATTAATGAAACAATAAAGAAAAATCATTGTGAGCAAGCTTCCCACACAATGTCCTCGTAAATAAATTACACACTGACATCAGACAATGATGTGTTCAGAGATTAGTCTTTTTAGACATCATCAGACCCCGCCCTACTGTGTTGCTGTCTTAACAGCTGATTTAATTAACTAATTCTGTAAATGGTGTAAATTGTAATGCAGTGGTTTGCCTTTACAAAGTAGAAGCCAGCATTAGACTAATTTTAGCAATCACAAGGAAATACCAGACTTCCACGTAAACTACAGCCAAGTAATTGAGGGTTTAAGCCTGTTTCATTCTAAGCCTTTTGGTGTAAACAATGGTTTGACTTGAATTTTTATAATCTATACTCAAACAGTTAGCTGTACTGTGTCACCTGTGTCGAAAGCAAAACATTTCTAACTTTGTTTACATGTTAAGAACAATGTAAGGATTTATTTTTAATGGCTGTCATACGTTTAGTATTGCTCCAATACATCAAAATCAATTTAAAATCTGTCCCAGGTTCCCTTTTAGAGAATGGGTGAATCATTATTGATTCAAGGTCGGCCATGATCAAAAGCTTGATGCTGATTTAACATCAAACATACTGAGTGCTTTCAATTTGGTTTTAATTTAAGGCATCAGTGTAGATTCCTCATTTCTGCCTGAAAGTATTTCACTGTTCATTGATCATAGTCTGCTCTCTGGTTTTGCTGTTAATACACACTTCCTGTTCCCTTTTCTGCAGTCAGTGATACTCACACATGCCCCACACAAGTGACAGTTTCTGCCTCTTCACTTTCTTCACTGCAGGACACATTAGTCACACTCTGCTCTTCTTCGACCCCGCCGCCCTCCTCGTTCTCTCCCTCAATCTCGACACCATTTGTTGAAATTTGTTCTTCCTCAGAGTTTCCCAGTCCTGTCAGCAGAACAGCGGGCTCCTCCCGTTCCTCTTCTAGTTTCACAACTACAAAACTGTCCGCCTCATCTTGCGAGCCTTGAATCTCCTCAACAATGTCAATTAAGTCCTGAGGTTCGGCAGGATCGGATGTTTCAGAGTGTCCCTCCTCTTCTTCTGAGTCTGTCCTCAGTAGGATTTCTGCAGAATTTAGCAGAAATGGGTGCAGTTAGATATGAAGTCACTTCTTAAAAATATATAATTAAGCAGGCAATTATTATTGCAACAACTCCAGAGACAGAGAATCGTGAATATGTGTTTTTAAACTAAACAACACAAGTAAAAACCTATGCTCTTTAACACCTGATTGAAGCTGTCACTATGACTGACACATACCGTCATTGCTGTCAAACAGCTCATGGGCTGAGTCTTCCTTTTCCTGTGTCTTCGGTTCTTGCACATCTGCTGCATCACATGGCTAGAAATTGCAACACAGGCCGTCAAACATGAGACAAAAACTTGTGATTGCCAGTGGGTTCATGAGTAGGCAGCTGCACTCTGAGCCTCATCTGACCAACATTATGTTTGCTCTATTCCTCCCACCACGGCTCAACCTACTACAGCAACACAGACGAGTTTATGAAAAAGCCCTAAAGACTGAGGAACGCTCAGTGAAGGGAGGGTCCATGACACAGGAAACTGTATCTAAAGGTGTAAATACACATTCAGAAACTGAGAAAATTCCAAATAACAGCAGTGTGAGAACATAACACCGTTTTTAATGTATCCTTAAATTAAGCACATACCTCAGATCCGTTTCCTGTCCACTCAACATCGGAATTCAGATGCTGTGAATCAAACTCATCTGGTTCCTCTGTGTCCTCATGGTTGAAAAGCTCAGCATTAATGTCTTGAGGCTGGTGAAGCGGCGAGGAGGTGGCGTCTAGATCCGTCACAACCTCGGAGTCCAGCTGATTGGCCGAGCCGCTGTCAGTCATGAGTAACGGCGTCTCAGTGGAGGGATCGGGCATGTTCCACTGCACTGTGGCGAAGGACAGCCGAGGACTGTTGCAGGTGATGGGGCAAACCGGCCATATTATCTGCTCCCATTGTTCTGCCTCTTCAGGGGACTTGTGTTCTGCCTTTGGGGAGAGACTGAGCTGATCCGGCCCATATTCCTGGTTCAGTTGCACCTCAGTCTCGTCCCACACAACGGTCTCCTCTTCTCCATTGATGCTCTGAGGATCTAAAGCGGTCCACGAGTCTTGTAGAAGCTGCTGAAGGACAGAATCTGTGATATCCGGCAGAGAGGCGCACAAGGTTTCCTCCTCCATTAGCGCCGTGCAGTCAATTCAGCTGTCAGCGTCTTTGTGGGTTTTGGTGAAAGATGCTGCAGCTGCAAACGTCGTGTAGCTACAAAACGTCCTCTGCTGCTGGATGTAGAGTGATCATAATTTGTCAAGGTTCCATCTGTGGAAGATTTCGAAGCATGTTGCCATTCACAGATCTGCGAGAAAAGAAATAAACATCAAAAAATATATTCACCAACCTCCTCCAGTCTGAAGCAACATAAAAAGTTCATTCTTCGAATTTTGGGTCAGACGCGTTGGCTGGAAGTGTGTTATGTTGTATAATAATAAAATTGTTTTTAATCCTCATGGCTTGCTTGAATGCAGAATTAAAAATACTTTTGGGGAACCACCCAGAGCACATCTGATTAGCGGGTAGACAAACAAACCATTCATAACCCTTGAGGCTGTGTTTGGTTGTAGAGTAATTGTGGTAATTCAACAGTGCATACTTTGTAAAGTTGCTCAATGCTTTTTAAATTATTTGTACGAAAGGGTTCATCACAAACTACCAAAAGCAGCATTTTAAAATCACACTCACCACCTGCATGTCAACATAATCCGCCTGTTTTTTAGCCCATCCTGCTCATTTGTTAACTCTCTCAACGTTTTGACTGCAGCTGTGCAGTGCAACACACTTTAAGCGAAATGTCACAAAAGCACCATTTCCTGACCACAGAAAATCAGCCGAGCAAGTGTGCAAGAGAGAGAGACGGAGGAAAAGAGAGATAGAGGTGTATAGTGTGGATGAAGAATCAAGGTGGTGGGTGGGGCTGAAGGGGTGCTTCTGGTGAACGGTTCAACCGTCTGTGTCCTGTGTTTATCGTTTTATCGCCCCGTTACACCCCGACCCTGGTTGCTGGACAAAACAGTGTTAAACAAGGGACTGAGCTTGAATTCACCGCATGTTGTCAACACAAACAAAGGCTCATAACACCAAGGCCAGCATCAACAAAACATCACCCGTGTTTTCACTGTTGCGAGAGATAAATGCGGCTAAAATATCACACCGCCTCACATCCTATTCTTATTCGCCTACTTCATCTATCGCTTCCTCACTTTGGCACAGGTTTTTTTTCTCTAAAACTCTCTGTCTATCTTCATTATTCTATTCGCGTCATGTAACCAACATCCGGGACAGACCTTGACCACATTTCCTGTGTGGGTGCTAACTTCTCAGTTCCTGTCAGGGTGCAGCAAGTGCTACAGTATGAGACTAGACAAAGAATAGCGAAGAGAATCATCTCTAAATGAATCATATTTCGTCTGAAAGCCAAATTTTGGAGAGACACCACAACACCTACATTGTTTTGGGGGCAGAAATGTCTCTCTGGAGATTTTCAAGTGATGAATTTACAGTATGATAAAATTAATTTCACAATATTCAGAAGCATTTGAGCATTACATGGTTGTGATTTCAATCTTGATTCAGTCCTGATTCTTGATAAAGCCTTGAGCACATCACATAACAACATGGTGCGATGCTATCTGTGGTACCACTGTTGATTATAAAAACAGTAGCATAAATGCTTAGTCAATTGAAGATTTCCAGAGAGGAACATTTCTTGCACTAAAGAAGGAAAAAAACAAGAATGAAACATGATAATTTCAACCAAACATAATAGTACTTGGACATAGCTGCAGCCTTGAATACCAACAGTGCATAGGAAGTTTAAACAGCACATTACAGGTTCAAGAGGATGCCCAGCACAATATAAAGGAGAAGTATTTAAACAAAAGTGCTCTAGAAGGCAAAATAAAAGAGGAACACAGCCACAGTGGGTAAGGCGAAAGTGGTGACAGGATAAATGAGTATGCGTAATAATAGAATTTGTTTACAGAGGATAAAAACTGCAAAAACAGTGAACATGGCACAGGCATCAATTTAGGCAAGGAACCAAACAAACAATCTCAGGAGGAATCTTTTCGACTCTGAAGCATGACTTACCCCCTCCAGGCTCTTTACAGCAACATCATATGATCGGCCAGCTTGTGAGGCTTTAAGTCCGGTCCTGCGGGAGGGAGAGGCGCACTGCTGTGTTACACTGGGTTTATACTGACATCAAAGAGCTGTGCATTCACAGACACTTTCAGCCAACATACACACAGAAGCGTACAAGCAACCCCGAGCTGATTGTGTTTGAACCTTGCAGCGCACGACAAGCGAGCCTCACATCCGCTCTAAGCCAGGTAGCTTTATAGTCTCTAGTGTCGCGTACAGATGCATACGAGTCACAAGTCCTAGTCTGGACCGGGTTTTTCTCTTTCTTCTTCTTCGTGCTTCCTGTCCATTCCGGATAGATGAAGCTCAGAATTGTGTCTCCTCGTGTCCTGTTTGCCTTTCAGCAGCAAATTAAAAGTGAGCTGGACGGGGAAAGCTGCTGAGTGGCAACGGGGAGGAAAAAAAGGTACACTGCGATTGGCAGATGACTCAGGAGCTCAGACACCTGAGAGGCCTCAGCCCACGCCCACAGCCCTGTAGGCATGCAAGCACACACACGCGCACACATACATACATACACACACACACACACACACACACCACACACACACACACACAGGTCAGGTGAGGGGAGTGGCTCAGTTTCATTCCTGCAGATGACACCAGGAACGATGTGGTAAAACCAGAAGGTGTCTACAGTCCAGGGAATGTGCACAAGTCATTAGCTGTACCTCTTTAATTTGATTTACTGGCATGTTGTCAGCTGTAAGCAGAAAAGCCTGTTTAACACATGCAAGACATTTCTGAAGGCTTACTAACAAAAGCAAGACAGCATTTTTATTTTTGAGAGGTTTACCCTGTTGTTTTTTTTGAATATTTAATTAATTTTTAATAATTAAAGTGACATATTTGTCGTTTTGTAGTTAATACGACAAGCTATAGAAAAAAATAGAATTACTAAATATTACTATAATTATTAACTCTAGTTTTATTAGAATTTAGCACAAGTACCATCAGTCATACACCGAGCACTGTAAGAAATAGTAACGTTAGCACTTTGTTAGCACTAAGCTATGGCATACTGGCACATTAGCTGGCAGTAAAAGTCTAGCGATAGAACTCGTTAGTCTAATTAGTAATATTATGTATTTAACAGTTTACGGTTAATTTCTAAGTTAAACTGCGTATCATTAGCAGTACCGTTGTTAGCTTTAGCCTGGACGTAATGAAACATTGTAATACGTCATGAACGTGATTAGCATTAAGATTACCGTTGGTATCAAAATATTAGCATTACCTAGCGTTTATGTGAACGTCCTTGCAGCTGTGGGGGATTAGTTGCTAGTGGTTGCAGTAGCTCATTTAGCAGCAGTGGTACTAACAGTGTTAGTAGTAGAAAACCAGTGATTCTATGGCGTTAGTTTGCCGTTTTCGTGTAGTTAGTTTGACACAATTTACCACCGTGGTCGTTTGTGTAAACTGTCACACTGAGCTGCGGCTAATTGAAAAGTTGCCCTCCGCGCCACTAGCGGCGCTGCGGAGCCGCGAGACGACACAAACGGCTCCTCGTTACGTCACTTTCGTGCGACCGTCTGTGCTTTGTTTGTTCCGCACACGGCAGCAGAGCCGCCGCACACACCCACTTTTTTTCCGGGGACTTTCAACCGTGTTCAAACCATCTGCTGAGTTGTTCGCTGTCGCAGCCGCTCGGTCCGACATGGCCAAGCCGAGCGATCTGAAGATCTTCCTGGAGTCTTCTCTGAATGAGATCTTTAAAGCGACAGTGAGCGACATCCTGGACTCAGTGGACCGAACTCTGTCCGAGTACCAGGGCACCATACAGAGGCTAGAGTCCGAAAACGAGGGCCTGAGGCGGCTGCTGCTCGAACAGAAGAGCACAGATTCGGCTCCAAGAGGTACGATGAGGGAGGTTTGTCCCTGCAGCTGCCAGCGCGGCTCCATGCAGCCACTGACCTTTAGTTCACAGTCAGCACATTGTGTCTGCACGTGTTTGTTTACCTGCGACAGTGTGAGCAGCAGATGGCTGTACTACGAAGCGAGATTAGTGGGTTAGTGAGGTATGTCGAGTCAGAGTTTTCAGTGTCATGACAGTGGCTCTCTTTTTACCTGGCTAGATCCCCATGGTAACTGATGCTGTGGAGCTAGCCTGGTGGGAAGCAGGTTAAGTGTGTGTCCCTTTAACCAGATCGTTTCCTGACTATTATTTATGAGTGACACAGATTCTCAGCTGAGGAAATGTGTTTTATCTGCGAACTTGCTGATTTGTACGTTAGTAATATCACTGTCTGGCACACTGTATGCATCACGTTGCCATGGGAACCTACATGTAATTAGTTGGTAGGTACTAAAATCACATAAATATGTTTTTCTGTTTGGCTCTGATTTGCTGTCAAGTCTGTTTATTCTGCTGGTACTCCAGCTGATAGAACACAGATTAGAAAATGGATTATTCTACTGGTATTCATTACAGAGAATATTCAATCGATAACTTTAATTTCGTTTTGTTTTGGCCAAAAATTAACATGATATCCTGCATTTGGGACACTGTCAAACCTAAATGCACTTCAGTGGGGATCCTGTGCCTTGTTTATGAGGCCGTTGGCAGATGGAAGGAAACTGTTCTTGTGGCGTGAGGTTCTGGTCCCGATGAACCGAAGCCTCCTGCCAGACGGGAGTGATTGAAACAGTTTGTGTCCAGGGTAGGAGGGGTCAGCCACAATTTTACCTGCACACCTTAGAGTCCTGGAGACGTGCAGGTCCTGGAGAGAAGGCAGATTGCAGCCAATCACCTTCTCAGCCGAGCGGATGATACACTGCAGTCTGGCCTTGTCTTTGGCAATTAGACATTAGACAACTAATTCATTCATTAAGTAAATAGTCAATAGAAAAAATAAAATAGTTGTTAGTTGCAGCTGTACAGTTAATCATAATACATGTGTACCTGAATATGTAAATGTAACATTAACAAGCCAAGAGACATTTTCATAATCTAGGGCTCGATCACACTTTGTCATGTAATGCATGATGTAGAATTTGTATTTAAAATTGCTGAGATGTTGTAAAGATTAAATATGATGGTAGTAGGACAGTGTTGTGTTTAGATCTGCCCCCAAGTGGGATCAAATCCGTTGATTTTATTCTCTATATTTGTTTTATAATACTACAATAGCATAATCACACATTCAAGCTATAATCTAAATCACACTCTGTATCTTTTCATTCATTGTTTTGTGCTTGAACTTTCGCAGATTTATGTGAACAAGATGCTGCTGATTCCAAGATTTCAGCTCCAGAGTGGAACAATGGTCCCATCAGCTCCACCAAGAGTACGTTCAAGATGTCCATATGCAGCAGCGACAAGAAGAGTTCCAGGAGGAAGAATAAAGGCAGGGTGAGGGAGAGCATATCCCCTCCCTCGTTTTTTCTGCAGAATAGTGAGATAGTAGGACAACCATGTGTGAACACATCCGAACTAGGTGTTCCCACAAAAACCTTAGTATCTGTAAAAGTAGAGCCTGAACTGGATGAAATCGGTGCTATCGATCTCTCTCAGCCGTCAACGCTTCTCAATCTGACAATGAGACCGATAAAGAATGAGAGCTCGGGGGTCAGTTGTGCCGGTCGTGATGCTTACACGGGTTTGCTGCCATCTTCAGGCCATGAAGAAGACTCTGGAGGCAGTGACGGTGATGTTAAAGTCACCATCGTTTCTGACAGCTACATGCAGGACGGACAATTCATTAAGGCAGAGGAAGAGGAGCAGAATGGGGTGGTGCCGTACGGTGATGGTGACAGTTTCTCGAAGCAAGTGTTGAAGTATGACTTGAAATATTACCCAGAATCAGAGATGGATCCTGGTGGAGCGAGTAGACAGGACGCGGAGCCAGAAGTCGCTCCGCTCAAGGAAAACGATTCACCTGCTGTTTCTGCAGATGAGTTTTTAGAAATTCGTGACAACTTTTTGCGCTGTCCCATCTGTCCAAAAACATTTAGCCGAGCGACCTCACTCAACATCCACCTCAAGACGCACACCGGTGGGAAGGCTCACAGCTGCAGCTATTGTGGTAAATGCTTTGGCCGGTCTGATCTCCTGAAATCCCACAAGCGTACGCACACCGGAGAGAGACCCTATAGCTGCAACATCTGCACTAAAACATACGCCCATCCCAGTCAGCTCAGGATACATAAACGCGTCCACACTGGAGAGAAGCCGTATTCTTGCTCGCACTGTGGGAAGCGCTTCAACGAACACAACCAGCTCAAGGTCCACTTGCGGACCCACACTGGGGAGAGACCGTACAGCTGCCAGGAGTGTGGGAAAACATTCAGCAACGCAGGAAACCTGCGCATACATGAGAGGATTCACACTGGTGAGAAGCCCTATTGCTGTGCGCAGTGCGGGAAAAGGTTCAACGGCTTGGGTGACCTCAAAACACATTATAGGATTCACACTGGAGAGCGGCCGTACAGCTGCGAGCTCTGTAAAAAGACCTTCAGCCAGGCGGGCCACCTCACCATACACATGAGAATGCACACAGGAGAAAGACCGTACAGCTGCGATGAGTGCGGCAAGAAGTTCACGGTCGCCAGCAGCCTGAAGCTGCACCAGAGGACTCACACAGGAGAGAAGGAGTACAGCTGCTCGTACTGCAACAAGAGCTTCAGCAGGTCCGGTCACCTGAAGCGACACGAGCTGGTCCACACCAAAGAAAAGGTCTTCCTCTGTAGCCAGTGTGGAAAAACCTACACAGACCAGAGTTCGCTTAAGAAGCACCTGAAGATGCACGCAGCAAAGGAGCAGAAGGCTCAGAGCGAAGGCAGCATCGGTGAGGCGGAAACAAACGAAGTACGACCTTCAGCCTCAGAGACACTTTCAGACACTGATAGAAATTAGAACCAAATTGCTGGAGGTGAGCACTGTATGTGACTTTACAACATAATCTTCAATCAAGGTTCACTTTTTAGCTTTTTTTTTGAGCTTTCAAGCACATCTTGCTGCTAATATCAGCATGTAGAGTTTGATTATTTGTCGAGGAGGTGCATCAGGTGTCACCATGTGTATCACCTCACATGCAGCAGCTATAGTGAACACAGTGAGACAGGAGGGACGCTGGTCAGGAGACTGAATAAACTCAAGTATTCAGAGCCAAGAGGTTGAAGGATTATCAGATGCCACAACACTACACACATATAACACTATGCTTTACTTTCGAGCCACAGTGACATTCACTCTAGCGTCAGCTCTGTGTAAATAATGCAGCATTCGGATCCGTTTCAGTGGAACCAGCAGGGATGCAAATTCAGAGAGCTACAGCAAACAACCCAGGGTTCTCCAGCAAAAAAATAATTAAACCAAGCTTAACGTTTCCTGTAACACAACAACATGCAGGCATTCCTGGCAGATCACTTTCTATTGTGAACATGACATTTGTTGTGCACACCTGTCAGTTGTTGCAACAAAAGATAAAGTAGTTGCTGCTGTCATAATTTTCCAACGTGAATATTCAAAAGCTGTGGAAGCTGAGAATCCTTTAAACACATTCATTTGTTATTCAAACTACTTAGTGCAACTTATTCTATGTCACACCGATACTTGAAGCCAGTGGTTTCCTATGTAGGCAACTTGCTGCAGGATTTAGTTCCACTGTTGTACTGGACATTTTTAACAGCATTTCTTTACATAAATACAAGATATTAACTGTATTTTCATGTTACATTTTGAAACGTAGCAGAAGAAAATACATCTAAACATCTTTTTTTTTTTTCATTAAAAATAAATCTCTATTTATCCTGATAGATTTAAGAAGCTTACAGTTGCTAGTTGTCATAGTTAAATATTGCATCTTCTGGCACTCAGGTTAACCAGATGTGTAATATTTATACAGTTGCACATTTTTACACACTTGCCGTTCTGCTTCTGCACACTCGGTTTGAAGTGGAATCTATTTTCTGGCCGTTCACAAGACCTGAGCTTCTCCTCATGCCATTATTTAATAGTTTTCTAAGTGCACTGAGGTACATTTCACACAGAATGGTTTCCCTTCCAGCCGGCCAGACCGTTGTCACCCCCTCATCTTTGCTGCCTTCTTGTCCATCTCCACTGCTGCTATCGACCGACTTTTTCATACCTTAGATCCATCTTTACCCTTTTTCTAAAACCTCATTATTGTCCCCTCCACTTGCTTGGCCACCAGTTTCCTCTTCATGCTCAGATGTCACCCACATCACAGGGCAAACAGTTCTTCCAATACTGATGTAAACCTGCTCAAATTGAAGGTGAAATGTGGCACTTTAGCAAAGTATCTGTTATTTTATTTCAAAGTGAAGATGCTGAAGCACAGGACTCCAGCTGTCTCTCACCTGCAGTAAAAACTGTCACTCACAGAGGCCTATTGAGCCGACACGACACTGTACACTATGCAGGGCTTCTTTGGTTTGAACAAAGTTTGGAAATCCCAGCTCGTTGAAAGCTCCAAAAAAGCTAGAAAGTGAACCTTGAGTTAATTTTTTTTTTTTAAACTACTCTTCCTGAGACGAGAATATAGTTTTTTGACTGAAAACCGTTTGTGACGTTTGTGGTACAGTGCAATACACTGTTGTCTCGTCTTTGCTGTGATTTAGTAACTCCAAATATTTAGCAATATGGTATGATTCCTTATTTGATTTGGATTGAAAAACTCTGATATTCCTTCTTTCTCACCAAACAGTGGCAGAGATACGGGACCTTAAAACAGCAGTTACTCTTTTGAAAGTTGCAATGTTTGCTGAAATGTTTTATAAGAAATAACAAATCATTGGAAGTTAATTTGTGTGCTCACTGTTCTGTCAAGTTAAAGACACTGAATCCCAGGTTTGTGTTGAAACCTTTGACCTCCTTCTGAAAAAAGTCCCACATTTAGTACAAAAAAATAACAGTTGTTTAGGATTAAGACGCCTCTACACACATTTACAAACCTAATATATAATTAACTTGATTAATATAATGCTGTATATAGCTTTAAGTATACAGTTAGCAGTCTGATCCATTGAACTGACAAGAATGTATTTGTGTTATAATGTTAGTGGAAATAATACTACTGCAGACAGTATTGATCGACCCGCTTTCAGATTGTGAATTAATAACTGTTTTGTAAGCTGATCTCTAACAGTGTGACGCTTCTAGAGAATTTTATTTTTAGTTTGTTCACTGTAATCGCCTGGAGATGTGTCTCTTGAGAAGTTTATCGGCTGACACCCACACAGGAGGACGACTTCATGTTTAGGAGGATAGGGCTTCTGTTTGTTGTGGCAACTGGTTGGTATTTAGCGAAGATGTAGCAATGTACAGTATTTACTGAGTTTTTGCTACTAGCAGTTTATTGTGACTTCACTTGTGTGTGATTTGTGTCTAAATTAAAGAGAAGCAATAACCAAAATAGTTTTTTTTGTGTCTTATTTATAGATATATTTAATTTGAAATGAAAGACAGTGTGCTGGGGAAATTCAATGCTCACTAAAACATGCAAAGACATTCAAACACACGTCATGTTTTCGTTACACATTCAGACAGTCTGTAACAGTCTATAATATTCTATACCAGGGGTGTCCCATCCTGGTCCTCGAGGGCCACAATCCTGCATGTTTTAGAGGTTTCCCTCTTCCAACACACCTGATTCAAATGATCAGGATCGTTAACAGGCTTCTACAGAGCTTGATGATGAGCTGATCATTTGAATCAGGTGTGTTGGAAGAGGGAAACATCTAAAACATGCAGGATTGTGGCCCTCGAGGACCAGGATTGGACACCCTATACAGTGGGTTCAGTTCATTGACTTGTTGCATGCTTTGTCGTGCTATAGATTTAATTTTAATTAGTAAAACTCCCATTTTATTACAAAATGACAAAGTGAAAGTATGATTGTAGAAGTTGATTTTTTTTTTTTGTTAATTAAAATAAATCTCTTTTAAAAAAATGTCTCTTTTGCCAAAGCCCTTTGCGGTGCTTTGTTCTGATGCTTTATTAAAGTTCACTTTGTGTTGAAGATTAATTTGTGTATAACAACCTGCTTGGAATTTGCCAGTTGGAACTAAAAGCATTCGTATGAAGAGAAAAAATTCTCTGAGATAGAAATATACCCTTTGGGCAGCTCCAGGCACTGTGTATTTACCCCAGGGACTGCTCATCAGCTGCTAATCTATATGGTAAAGCATGGTGGTGGCAGCATCATGCTATATGTGTGTTTCTTAGCAGCAGGGACAAGGAGACTGGTCGGAACAGATGATGTCCACGGTTCACCTTTCAGCACAACACCTGCTCCAAGTGTAAAGCCAGGACTATGCTGAAGGGGCTTCAGGTCAAGTCTACCCACTAAAATCCGTTTTTAAGCCCTACAGAACATTTGTGGAGAGACCTGAAGATGGCAGGTCAAAGATGGTCCTTATCCAATCTGATGAGAAACCTGCCAAACACAGGTGTGCCAAGCTTGTTACCCAAGAAGAGTTGAATCTTTGTTTTCTGCTACATGTTCTTCTATAAAGTCTAAACACATTTGTATATGAGAGATATACAAATGTTGGTCTTTTTCTTTTGAGATAATGGTGCTGTGACAACGAGAATGACATGAAATAGATTTATGACCAGTTACTGCTACTTTGTGTTGAAAGCAGCCAGCTGAACTGGTTTGGGCTTCTGATATTTGGATGCCTGCTGGGTGTCTTCCTTTGGAAGTATTTCATCTAACTGGAAGGAGACCCAGGGCAGGACCTAGAGCTTGCTGGAGGGATTAAATATCTTTTCTGGCCTGGAAGTGCCTTGGGATCCCCCGGGAGGAACTGGAAAACGTTGCTGTAGAGAGAAAGAGAGGCATTGGGAATGCCCTGCTTAGCATGTTTCCAATGAGACCTGACTCTGGATAAGAGTGAGTAAAGTGGATGGATGGATTGATGGATGGATGGTCCATCATACTGAGAGTGCAGAAGCTTGAGCCTGAAATATGTAGTATATTGCTGAAAGGCACTTTAGAGGGTCAGTCAATCCAAATTACAGAGGCATTTTCTCACCTACACCACATAAATAGCTGTGGTTTTATTTGCCCTTTCATTGACTGAGTTCCACAGTAGTATGGAGGTTAATGAAATGTTCTATGTTGTGTTTAAGACAGACAACAACAACAAAAAAAATCATTAGTCTGAATAGAAGAAACACAAGAAAGATGTTAGATGATTTCATGAGGTCTGTGTCTTTGTTAGAAAGAAGATCAACCACAAACTGTCCACTGAGAGGTCTGTGGATTTTCTTGTGTAGCCACAACATTATCTACGGTGACATTTCTCAGTACTTCAAGCCGCAATATTTTAAGCTGTGACTAAATAGTTTCGGTTTTAGTCATCATTAGCATCATGTCCTCTGAGAAACAAGAAATGAAAAGTGCACATCAGAGTTTCCCAGAGCCCAGGGAAGGTTTGTTTATGCCTTGTTTTTAAAATGTTTATCTCTATATCTTATCTGTATTCTATTTAAAGTTTGCACAGAACTCTAATTTTGTAGTCTCAGATGTTAGGAACCACTGCACAATCCATGTTTTATTAACCGGCATTTTCAACATTCAATCAAGCAAAACAATAACAGCTTATTCTCTTATATTTTACAACAACAGTACATTCTTTAAAGCAGCTCTTGCAGGGAATAAATAAAAATAATTCAACATGCATGCACCCCTACAGGTTTGGTGAAACGCTGGTCTGGCAGCAGCAGAGGCTCCATGACAGCTTCTCCTTGGACAGATAGAGCATCGGCTGAATGGTGCTGCTGAAGTCCATCAAGCCAAAGGCGAGGTAGTGAATATAGCAGCGAAACACATCGGGAGAGAAGTATTCTTGGAAGGGGAACAGTGCAACAGGCGGGAAGTAGTTGAACACGATGATGGCCAGGATAATGAGGACCATCTTGAAGGCTCTCTTCTTCACGGGGTGCATCTCGTCCCTGCCGGGCCCCGACTGCCTCAGCGCCCAGAGAATCATGATGTTGCAGAACACCATGAAGGCGAACGCTGCCAGGATCATCGCCGTGAAGACCTTCTCGAAGTTGTAAATGTTGCCCACGCATTTAGCAGCAGCGTAGGCCAGAGTGATCACCCAAACCACAATGGCCAGGACCGCCCTGTGCTGGCGGTCCTTGAGCTCGGTGAAGGTGATGGGGTGAACCACGGCCATGTAGCGGTCCAGGCAGATGCAGGAGAGGAAGAGTGGCGAGGAGTCTTTCATGCCGTAGAAGAAGCGCAGGACGTACCAGGTGCTGCTGGTGGTCAGGAAGACTATGTTGGCCAACTCCAGGGGAGGGATGAGACAGAAGAGCACATCTAAAACGGCCAGATGAAGGATGAAGATGTCTGAGGTGGAGGAGTCGCCCTTGTTTTTGTGGATGAGCCACAGCACCATGAGGTTGGCCGGGATGCCCAGGAACATGTTGGTGAACTGCAGGGCGAGATACCAGATGAGGACGGCGGGCATGTCTTTGCAATTCTCGTACACCGTCTTCTCAGGGACGGTGTAGTTGAGAGGTCTGTGAGAGATGAAGACCAGAGAGGAGTTGGCGTACAACATGCCCATGACCGCCGGCTGGGTCAGAGTGGAAAGCGAAGCGTTCCGGGGTACAAAAGCCCGATCTGTCAAAAACACACATCAAGACCAGCTGTTAGAGACCACGTACAGGACAAACAATAACACCAGTAATACACAGACCATTCCTAATACATGAATCATGGGCAATGGAAAGTGATCCCACACATTTAGAATTCTTATGCCACAACACCAAATTTGACTCTAGAGTAATATTCTTTCATATTTTACTCATATACTTGGTATTTTACGCTGTCATTAGACAGTTCCTCTGGACTAAAGCGGTATCCACAGACTCAAACCAGACATGATTAAGCACTAACATTTGTCATTCAAATACCTGTGTCTTAATTTGCTTATGGTACGCTTACGGTGCTTCAAATTAAAGAGCCTGAGAAGGAAAAATCCTTATTTTCTCTGGTGAGGGGTGAGAAGTAGATATGACTTCCCCTAATGTGGACAGTAGGTATAAATGTTGGGACACATTAGTAGAAAGATAGAACATTTTTCAATTCAGAAATTAAGCTGGTCGATGCAGTCACACTGTAATCGTCTATTTATCCATCCATCCATCCATCCATTATCTATACACCGCTCAATCCTCACTAGGGTCACGGGGGGCTGGAGTCTATCCCAGCTGACTCAGGGTGAAGGCAGGGGACACCCTGGACAGGTCACCAGTCTATCACAGGGCTACACTTAGAGACAGACAACCAAGCACACTCACATTCATACCTACAGACAATTTAGAATCACCAATTAACCTCAACATGTTTTTGGACTGTGTGGGAGGAAGCTGGAGAACCCGGAGAGAACCCACGCTGCACGGGGAGAACATGCAAACTCCACGCAGAAAGATCCCGGGTGTCCTCACCAGGATGTGAACCGGCATCCCTCTTGCTGCGAGGCAACAGTGATAACCACTGAACCAGCTTGCATCCCCGTCTATTTATTTTTTGTTATAATTAATTTTTAACTTAACTGAATAATTTCATCAACATCATGTTCTATTCTTTGCTTTAATGTGCAATATTTTAGTCGTTCCAATTAATTATATTATAGATATTACACGTGACTGTGGTTATTGTAGAGTCATGTTGTAACTATGATATTTGGCAAAACAGCAGCATAGTTTCTAATCTTCCGCCTGCGTTCATTAGAAAAAAAATACATTTCAGGTTAATGTCATGTAGGATTGTCACACACACAGTTGATATGAAGGCAGTGAGTCATCAGTGTGTCCTCACTGCCAGTGCGTTGGAAATTAGACAATCAGCATCGGCCTGGAAATGAGCTGACTTGCGAAAGCAGTTTTATCAGACCTAACACCTGTATTTTGCAAAGTTCTCCTTCATATCCTCTATTTAAATAAACTCTTTGTTGCTCAAACTTAACATATGATACAGTAAAAATACAACAGTAAAAGCAGAAGTTTCAAAGGTAACAAAGGAAAACTCATTATTTTTAATATAATAATAATAATATAATGTATTTCAGCCTAGTTTAGTAATAATCTGTGAAACTTTTCAGTTCTTAACAGTAACTTTACCTACAGTTTGAGGTTTTATCAGCTGAACAAAAGCTGTAACATTAAAAACAATCATTTAGTTAAAGTGTGAACTTTGACAACAAACAGATAAAATAAGCTAAATGTGTATGTTTCCATTTAATTTTTCTCCTCCATGCAGTTTTCTGTATGATAATTGAAGCCTCCTACCTTGAACCGACTCTCAGCCTCTCTCAGTGAACTGATCTCCTTTGCCCTCAACTCCCCACGTATTGCTGTCACACTGACTTTACGGTCTATTCAGCCCATTTCCTTTTCAGACACCCATGTAGAACGCTGTGGCCAACAATACAGCTGCATGTTAAATTTGACTTTATGAAAATGACTGGCAGAATTACGTGCAAGAGCCCCTGCCTATTTCCACCACACAAACAAGCACCACACGCCATTATCTCTGTAGCTAAGGGTGGCATCTAAATGTACAACCTGACTGTAAATAGAGCCACGTCTCCCACAGAACACGTGAACTAATTAAGTCAGGATATAAAGACGTGGTAACATGACTCAAGAACTCACCCACCACGCAGACATTGATTCATCGCTTCTATTTGAATTCAACATACAAATTCATGCAAAATTTAATGACGCAAAATTAAACTCACCAGTTCAACGGGACACCGCAGCCTTACAGTGACCACTTTCCCCCCCAATCTGTGCTCTTAACTCTCGTGGCTCCGGAGTACATCTGCTCCAGTGCGAGCAAATCCTGAGCCCCCACCTCAAAGTGAGTTAAAAACATCTTTTGGAACATGAGCCAACACTTCAGGGATCCTGTTCTTGTCTGATCATCCAATCACAGTGTGGAGGTGAGGGTGTGGAAGCTGAGGATCTCCCCCTGGATGCCATGATGTCTTGTTTGGCCCCTGTGCATCCATCACACCTTAAAAATTAACACACTGAATTATGGTGCAAATGTGTGTAAGTAAATTAGGGCTATAAATGGACTGAAATATATATTTTAAAAAAAAGATGATGGCAAATGGAGTTGATCAAGAGCAGAGAGTAGAATGGATGAGTGTGGAGGACGTGTTGTGGCAAGCCATCATCCATTCACACCGATTGGCAATGATGCAACAAACCAATGGTGCCTGACGGAAAATGGGCAGTAAACAAGTGATGCAACAGTCAAGAAGATCACTTCTGATTTCATTCAGTGTAACAATGTGTAACGTGTTACGTGAGGATGACATGTATTGAGGCGCGATGCCCGTCGGTGGCTTTGTGCAGAACGGAAACTTGTGTCTACTGCTACTAAAAACTAGAAGGTATTTAACTTTATTTATCTTTGTGTTGCTACCTACAGATTGTGTTCATTCAGAGGGTCACAAAATGATCCCAGAGGTGACCTTTGACCTTTCTAGTCCCGATCATGATATCTGTTAAAACAACAAGCTCATTTGTAAAGCGACTTAAACAAGATTAAATAATATTAAAACAATTAGTGTGTTATCCTCTATGAACGTGTGTGTTGTGTGTGTTGTGTGTGTGTGTGTGTGTGTGTGTGTGTGTGTGTGTGTGTGTGTGTGGTGTTACAGTGAAAGCTTCTTTAAACAGCTTCACAGGTCGTCTGCTGAAACTCGACCCGGCTTTGTTTACCTTTAGTGTGTCTGTGCCTGAACTTGTTTGTACTGGTGTCAGGTTCACAGGAGATATGTCTGCTTCCTATAAGGTGAAAGACTTCCACCGGTTCGCTAAATTCTGCATCAGAGCATAAACACACAGCCTGAGCAGCGCAGCTCGGATTTCAGAAATCACTGAAGCTTGTTGTGGTTGTGACTTCACCACAGTGACTATACTACATAAATGTTGGTATTTTGCATCACGCTTATTACATTCATAATGGGAGTTTTGTTGAAGCAAGGTGTCTAGCTTGAGATGTTATGAAGCTTTTATAAAAAACATCAGCTCAGTCATATCGTAATAGATAAAAAGCCTGTATATTGGCACTGTTCCTATGCAGATATTAACTTTTACCATATACACTGATGTACCACAGCCTTGAAGAACCGGTGTGCACAAAGGAGTGGCATCCAGCGAGTCCCTCACCCACAACCCAGTGTAAGCTCATGAAGAAATTCCCTGGAACCAGTGTTTAGTTTATCTGCTCTGCGGTTACTGTTGAAACATGACAGTGCAACGTGACTGTAGAGGACCACCCTGTGCAAATATGTAGGACTTAGTCTAAGCTAACAAAAACACAATTCATAATGAAACTTCATTTATTATATAGTGATTTGCACGGTTGACCTGTCCAGGGTGTCCCCTGCCTTCACCCAAAGTCAGCTGGGATAGGCTCCAGCCCCCCCGCAACCCTCGTGAGGATTAAGCGGTGTATAGATAATGAATGGATGGATGGATGGATGGATGATTTGCGCGGTTTCATTATACATTAATAAAACTGTAATTATGAATACTGTATTCAATTTTTTCTAAAAGATCCCCCTACATCCCACACAGTTATCCTTTAAAAACCACTGACAGGTGAATGACAATGACAATCTCATGACGGTGGCACCTGTCAAAGGGCAGGATATAATAAGTTGCATGTGAACCGATGATTCTTGAAGTTGATGTGACGGAAACTGCAAAGATAAGGGAGCAGAAGGGTCTGAGTGACTTTGACAAGGGATCTAATTGCAAGAATCAGTCAGAGCATCTAAAATATGACACCTCCTATGGAGTGTTTTCAGTATGCAGTGGTTAGTACCTACTGAAAGTGATCCAAGGAAGGACAACTAAAACAGCAACAGGGTCATGGGTGCCCAAGGCTCACAGGCTCAAGGGGAGTGCAGACTGGCTGTGTGGTCCTCAGAAGATCCATCCATCCATTATCTGTACCGCTTAATCCTCACTAGGGTTGCGGGGAGCTGGAGTCTATCCCAACTGACTGGCGAAGGCAGGGGACACCCTGGACAGGTCACCAGTCTATCACAGGGCTACACTTAGAGACAGACAACCAAGCACACTCACATTCACACCTACAGACAATTTAGAATCACCAATTAACCTCAACATGTTTTTGGACTGTGGGAGGAAGCCAGAGAACCCGGAGAGAACCCACACTGCACGGGGAGAACATGTAAACTCCACGCAGAAAGATCCCAGGTGTCCTCACCAGGATATGAACCGGCGACCTGCTTGCTGTGAGGCGACAGTGTAACCACTGAACCACCTTGCAGCCTCAGAAGATCTGCTGTAGCACAAATTGCAGAAAATCTTAACTCAGGCTGTGATACAGAGGTGTTTGCACTCTGCAGGGTCAGAATGTCCATGTTGACTCCTACAACGGGCACATGATTACCAAGACTAGACTTGAGGAAATGGAACAGAGGTGGCTTGGTGTGATGATTCATGTTTTCTTTTACATCATGTGTGCAGCCAGGTGTGTGTGCTGCGTTTACCGGGGCAGGAGACACCGACAGGATGTGGAACGAAGGAAAGCCAGTGTGATGCTCTGTGTAATGTTCTGCTGGAAAACCTTAAGCAACGCGTGGATGTTGCTTTGACATAACTACCTAAGTACCGTTGTAGGTCATGTACACGCCTTTATTGCAGCACTATTTCCTGATGACAGCAGGATAATACCGTAAGCTCTGCCACGCTGCAAACATAGCTCAGGAATGTTTTGAGGAACATGACAAAGAGCCTCAAGTATCTGTGGGATGTGCTGGAAAAACAAGTCTGATCCATGGAGGCCGCGCCTTGCAGCTTACAGGACTTAAAGGATCTGTTGGCTGATACTACAGGGCACCTGCATTGGTGTCGTGGAGTTCATACCTCGATGGGTCAGAGCTGATTCAGTGGCACAAGGATGACCTACACAATATTAGTCAGGTAGTTTAATAGTGCTGATGATCGATGTATATTAAGCACAGGACACACAAACTACTAACTGATACAGTAGAGGACGTAACACATCCATAAAGCTGCTATAATGAGCATAAATTAGAAACTGAAACTTTAAATCGATAAGAGAGGATATAAGACTTTTATACACTTTGGTGAGTGATTTTGTTTTTCAAAAAAATAACATACATATCCAGTTTTATGGTGGCAGTTCTGCATTTAAGCACAGTTGGGCTTGAGCTAAAAGCAGACACCAGCCTCCAAACACACTCACAATGCAAACATGCAAGTGTTCACAAAGTTCATTTTTATAGTTAGCAATTGCCAATTAGAACTAAATATGGAATAGAGATGAGGCGGTATGTCAGCAGTTTGGCAGGTATTTGCTCAGAAGTTTTGACCTGGTGAGGCAGAAAAAAGTGTGAAATAATAAAAGGGAACAAAACAAGACACATGTGAAGCTAAAGGGGAACTTATACATGTCACAATGCGAATTATATGAATAACTGTAATGCACATAGTGAATCTGGAATATTGCTGCCTGAAACAAAAAAATATTACATTTCTTTTCATATTTGTGACTTCATGACAGTGTAGATTTAATTCACTGCAACAACCGTCCAGTTTTTCCAATTATACGCCTCATTAAAATGAGGCAAAGTAAATCACATCTGAGGGTTAAGTGCAAATGTGCTGCATTAATTACATCAGATCACCATCACTGCCAAGGGACGCTTCCTTAATTTATGACTGGGTATCATAACAGAACTAAACAGGACGGATCATCCTGGAAAATCTCTGGTTTTGTTTTACGGGAGGATGTTTTTTTCGGTTTCTTATCCAGGTCTGCTGAATCATCACATGTAATGAAAATACAACAAAGTCAAGCTGACAAAATGTGGAAGCTAAAAAAAAAAGAGAAGTAAGACCGCTGAGTTGCTCATCTTTTTAAAAGGTGGTGTATGCCTGAGAATAAAGATGTGCTGGTTAAAACTGATGCATCATTTATGTCTGCGTAAACAATATTTTTGTCATAAACAAATGAAATGTTTGGCGAATAAAGTGCAGATTGAAAAATATAATTTCTGTTGTGTATATCTGATACATGTTAAATGGTCTGATTTGGTTTAAATGGATTAAAAAATCACCCGGTTTATACTCACATGTAGACATTTAGATTCACAACTCATTAGAAAGATGCGTTTCAAAGAACCACAGAACTGCAGTCAATAATTTGGTCATTTTTATTTCTGACGTTTCCTTGAAGTTTGAGTCCTTTCAATAGAAAGCAGAAGGAAAAGAGTTTCACACGTAATTTAGTTTGAGCAGCAGGAAACATACAATCAAACAAGTGCATGGGAAACATCAGACATCAACAGCATGTGACTGTGTTATGTGCAGCAAAACATCCCAGCAGTACCATATAGATGCATTATAAAACTACAATGGTTTTTTCTCTACCACCACCCACCGACTAAATACTTCTCTTTGTAAACTTGTGGATGGCTAAACGTTTTTACAGTCTAAAATCATCTGCTCTCAGGCTGGTCAAAGGAAACACGTACAAGGACAAATTGGGTTTTCACATCCGTGCTAACGTTTAATCTCCAGGTTTCAAACTGAAATCTCTTCAGACGATAAATATTTCGAGCTGGAAATACGACCCATGCCGAGAATCCACTGTAAAGACATGCAGAGGATGTGCAGCACTAGCTAGCCAAAGTGATACCTTTTATATTTTGTTGTTGTTGTTGTTGTTGAGAATCGTCTCCCAACTCCAGCACAGTCACCACCTACCACGTTCATCCTCCACAGCTTTCTTCTACGTGCAAACTTCCAGTTTTTCTCTAATGCGTCTCTGCCTTTATATCTCGTTGGCTTTTACAGTCCTCCAACATTTTTTCAATGTTAAAAAAAAAAACATTTAAAAACTCATGTAATGTCTTAACATTAAACATGCTACTATAGAACACAAGCTGCTCTTTCAGTAATTCCTCTCTCTCAGTGTTTGGAATGAAACACTATGAAAAGCAAAGAAGGTAAACATGATATTGATTATTAATTTACATGAAAAGGAAATACTGAATTACAAAGTGTCTCTTATAATGGGTAAATCAAAGTACCAAGCTTTTAAAAAAAAAAAAAAAATGTAGTTGATAGGTCACAGCAAGCAGATGCAGCTGAGAATTTGTTTTCATTTGCAAGAATATGGCATTTTATTCCAACACAAACAACCTCCCCACTGTCCAATAGCTTTGTGGACCACTGTAATCGAGCTCCAGCGGACTCCCGGTGAAAGTAAACGTTGGTGTTTTTTCTGCTGCTTGTGCAGTGGAGCAGCAGAAGTACAAATAACAGTCTTTTGGGAGTGGGAGTGGAGATCTTGCAGATGCTGTAATCACGCAAGAAATGGAGTGATGTGATGATGAGACCCGTCTGATGTCTTGAGTGTTTCAGTTTTTTCAGCTTAGTAGGAGTGTTTTTTTTTAATGCAGGAAGGCAGCGAGTAAATTTAGACTCTCGGGGTCAAGTCACTCAGGTTAGGTAATCCTCAGGAGGAAGTGCATGGTTTGGGGTGGGAGTGGTCACATGATGTAGTCGAGGGTGTCGGCGTGTTATGGCTAAAGGTGCGTCACTGCCGCAGACGGTCAGTCGGGTAAACAAGAGTCAGCTTCGTCCAGACCAGCAACAGATATGTTGACGTGACATCGCGGTGATTCCCAGCTGACGTTTGGTGTGGATGATGGTGTTGGGTGGAGCGTAAGTGTTTTCAGATAAAAGTGGAATCCATGGTGCTGGTGTCTTGTGCGCTACGGGCTCGAGCCTCAAAAAGCTGCTTTATCAAGGCCGACTTCTCCTGCTCCAGCTGGGCGATGCGCTCGCTCTTCTCTGTCACCTCCTTCAAGACAAAAACAAAAAGAAATTGAGTGAGAGTAAAGGTAATCTGAGCCACTATTGGGGACTCTGTGATATATATACTGGATATAAAGACTGCGCTGAACCTGAGTGAGGAGTCGGTTCTGGTCCTTCAGTCTCTGGATGGCTTGTGGAGGAGCTGGGGCCGGAGGCTGGCCGCTCGCTGAGAGTGCTGCTGTTTGAGAACCGCTGGAAGGAAATGACTGCTGGCAAACAGAGAGGAACCAGTGGTAAAGGGAAACATACCCGAGACATACAGACACATGCCAGCTTTGCAGAAGTTGTCTTGTTGTGAAATATCAGCATTTACATGTCTGTATACCCAACTTCCTGTACCGTGTCTTGTACATGTCAGATAAGGATGATGCTATTTTGAGAAATATTAACCGTATGCAGCACTCAGCATTTACCAGTAACAAACCAGTAAGATTTATTGGTTTGATTCCTGACTTGCTGTGTGTCATTTCTCTACTCTCTTTCCCCACATTTCCTGTCTTTCTTTGCTGCCACAATGAAATATACCCATAAAATACCCAAAAAATAACCTTAAAAAAACCTTGTGACCTCTACAGAAATGCTTTGTGTAATAATGTTTAGTTCACTTTAATTCCTCCATAAATAGAACAAATTAAATAAGTCGTTTGATGAAACACTGATGGTTTTGAGAATCACTCAACATTTACTATGACATGACTTGAAGCATTCTGTCGCTCATTTTTGGGTGGGATTCTTTAGATTTTTAACATTTGCAGACAAATGAGTAGCAACCCACAGAGGCAGAGTTAGAAAACCCTAATCAGAGTCCGAACACATCTTAAAGTATTACTTAGACCCTGTAGACTTCAAAGTCTGCAGCTTGCTGGTTCACAGACAGCTGTGGTTAGTTTGGATTTACACCAGTTTAAAATGGAAGGTGCCCAAGTTTCACAGAGAAACAACAGCAGCCAAAAATTCAAAATAAACTTCTCAAGTCACCCTTGCAGAATAATCCCCAAACACCCATTTCTGGTCTTAGTGTATTCTGAGTACACACGTATCTTTGACAAAATAAGGCTGAAACACATGAAACAATGAAACAGCTATGCTTGGCTTAGCTTAAATCCTAGAACAAAGTAAAAACATCTACAGGGGGAGTTAAACACTCACCATTCCAGTGCAGGAAATAAGGTCATTAAGGCAGCGGTTGACCTCTTGTAATTTGGGAATGAGAACATTCATGCGACTCTGATTGGCTTCTGTGAAGAAATCCTGAGAGGAGAGAACATAAAAGTAGTAAGAAATCACAATCACACAGCCTGCAGTGCTGCAGTCACAACCTGATGCTCAGTGTTTATGTTCAGATTAAACTCAGAAGATTTATGTTTGTTGTCCAGAAACTTTGCATCTGTGTTGCAGATGTGTTGGAAAATTGTGACTCATTGTTTATGTGCAGCCACTTATCAGTACTAATAAACCGAGTAAATCAAGATAATAGCTTTTGTTGTTTTAGGCGAACGTTTGAACTAACCGTGCAGTGGGAGCTCTGGCCGACCTGCCGCTGTCTCTCCGTCACATTGTGGATTTGGCCCTGGTACCAGTCTCGGGCCCGCTCCACCACCTCCAGGCCCGCCAGCAGAGAATCCTTCTCTTGCTCCAGCTCTTTCATTTGCTTCAGCTGCGTGAGTCGAAAGTTAAAAGGAGGGAGAGTGGTCGGAGAGTGAAAAGGAAGGGACGGGAAGAAGGGTGACACGGTCAAAGAAGGAAAGAAAAAAAGAACGTGGCTGAGCACATAAAACAAACTGAAGTCACTTGTCTGTGCGGATTTCACACAGAGAGGCCGCAGAAAGGAAACATTTCATTTCCAGGTTTCCCATACCATCGCTAGGAGAGCTTTCCAAACCGATGCCAAGATTAAATCTAATGACTGATTCTGGGCTGCCAGCAGTCTGCGTGGTAGACAAACTCCCATCTTTTCACGAGGGCATCTGCAGCGCTCTCTTTTGTGCCGGCCGAGACAATGGCGCCGCACCAATTGTGCCGGACTCTCTCCCATCCCGAACAATGTTTAGAGGAGCAATCAGCCCGGCGTCATAGCAACCGCGCAGCAACCTAAGAATGGGGTAAACAGTGGACCCACTTCAACTATGGCCACCCCAGTGTCTGTGTGTGTGTGAGTGTGTGCTTGTGAAAGAAAAAGAGGGATGTGTGAGAGAAAATGCATGTGTGTGTGTGTGTGTTTGCAGCCCAGCAAGGCTGCATTGAGTTGTGCTGACCAGGCTGTCCATGCGGCACACTGCCACAGTCCAGGCCTCATTGCTGGCATTCAGCCACCTGGTGTGTCATCTTTCTATCCACCCATCGCTCAGACCTTCCGACTCTGTGCGGCTCACTACATTCCACTGATCATCGCCCTTACGCCGGGAGACATTCTGCAAACATACACTGACAGAGTGTTCAGAGACGCTTTAACATTTTTGTGCGCTTTCCCAAAAAGCCTCAAGAGAGAATGTACACAGAGGAAAAGGGCGAAGGGGGGTTCAGGGGAAGAGAATGGGTCTAAAATGAAGCATGACCCAGTGTCAGGCTGCATGAATGTGCGGTGGGCCACAGGCAGGAAAACACACTGTTTAATATAAAGAAAGGAGGCAAAGGAGGGAAAATACACAGAGAGGAAGCAGAGCGGCAAACTCTGGACATGTGTTACTCTCTTCTGGCTGAATGAGCAAAGCATGAATACACACAACGGCGCACGTACAATAACATGACAGCGATTGGACAAGCTGTTCTGCGAAAGGCACAAAGAGCAACTCGGCAACCTTTTAAACTTCACCTGGTCTGAACCTTGACGCGCAACCGCATGTCAGGCGCAACAAACAGGCCCGAAAGTCCCTAAAACAGGGGCCTTTTAGGGATCCGACGAAAAAGGGAAATTGCACTGATGACTTTATTCTTCTGATGAGTTGTTTAAGTTTAGAAAATGTCAGGAAATTGTTTCCAGTCATGTCACGGCTTCAACTTATGTCCAACAAACAGCCCAAAAACAAACATATTTAATTAACCTTATTGCTAAAGAGGGAAAAAAAATCCATACATCATTGATAAATTGCTTAAAACACTGTTATCACCTAAGTTCTTCTGATTATTTCACCCCAAAGGCAAGACACAGAGTCCTGAAGCTGCTCATTAGGTTAGTTTTTTATTTTAAAAGTCTTCTAAAATGTACAAAAACTGTTAAAAAACAAACCAAAAAACAACCATACTACTGGAAACTAATTATTTGTTTAGTGTAACAGTTCATAACCCAAAGATCATTAACTTACATTTATATAAAGCAAATCCTCACATTTAAAAACTTTAACCACCAATCAGTCATCAGCTTTTATGAGTTCAAACATCGTTCTCGATTGCGGTTTATTAATTGACTAGTTTATGATTAATTTCAAGTCCAAAAGGCTCCTCAGTAATTCAAGAAACATGTTCCAAGGTCCCTTAAACAAATACAGATAAATCAGTTCCAGTGTTCTGTTTCACACACACACTGAATTCCTCTTACATGACAGAGATCACAACTTTTCATCCTCTGCATGGTCTCATCCGTCACAACTAAACATCGAAACAACGTGATGCAGATCTTTAAATTCTGAAATTCCTATCACCATCTCAAAGTTCCTCTCCCCTCTAGAACCATCTCTCCCTTTTCCTTCTCCGTCACTCTCCCCCTCTACTCACCCAGAGGAAAAAGTGCAGGGCCTTGCTGCTGTAGAGGCTACTGCTGAGGGGGATGAAGACAGTGGTGTAGGCGGCCCACACAGCCGTCCAGGCTGGGCCGGGCCGGCCGAGCGAGTCCTCTACTTCTACCAGGCCCCTGGGCCCGACCCGGCTCACTACCATCAGGGCAGCAGTGGGCCAAGTCGGCCTGGGTGGGAGGGACAGAGGGAAGGGGGAGGAGGAGAGGGGCAGGGACGGAGGGAGAAGGAGGGGAGTCGGTCAGTCGGCCTCCCCAGACACAGAGGCCGAAGGGGGGGAAAAGGAGACGGAGACGGCGACACAGACACGGAAAGAAAGAGGGAGAGGAGGTGAGCTGCAAAGAGAGAGGAATGGTGAGGCAGGGGGAGAGACGGAGAGTGAGAGGAGGCAAGAGCTCCTGACTGGAGGGTGGGAGGGGCAGAGTGAGGGGGAGGCAGAGGGCAGAGGGATGGGAGGGGAATGCGTGGACCAATGGGAAGTCTAACAGAGCGAAGCCTGCACTGGGAAACCTTTTACATACATTTTCCATGCATGTTTCTCTACTTGTCAAAATAAACAAAACATTTTCCGGCAAACATCTCCTGAGCTTAACTCTCAGTCTTTGTTAGATCCAATCAGACCTAAAATGAGAAGTTTCTGCACAGGCCTGGGTCTCTCTCACCCGATTCAACACAAACAAAACAATGAGAATCTCAACTAAAATGTCATCATGAATGTGTAATATGTTGTCCAGCTGAAAATGAATAAACATCTCCCCCGACAAACTTCTATTGTCAGTTGCTTATACAGTGTCAAACATCCTCTCAGAAGGTCTCTGTCCATTTTAACAAACTGGTGTGACGTTACTGCTAACAGGCTGCAAGTACAGGCCACTCTTATTACTGATCAATCTGCCAATAACAACACAGTACAACCATGACTGCATCCATCCATTATCTATACACCGCTTAATCCTCACTCGGGTCGTTGGAGTCTATCCCAGCTGCCTCAGGGTGAAGGCAGGGGACATGCAAACTCCACACAGAAAGATCCCGGGTGTCCTCAACTTGACGCGAACCAGTGACCTTCTTGCTGCGAGGCAACGATGCTAGCCACCGATCCACCTTGCAGCCCTGATTGCATCCAAAGGTGATGTATTTAAATTGCACGTTTCGTCCAATCAACACTTCAGTAACCAAAGATATTCAATTGACGACATTAGGCAATAACAAGCAGCAAATTGTTTCATTTTTGTAATGGGTGAAGCAAAATTTTTAAAAAGATTTCATGAAAAAACAACTATCTAGGTGTTTGATATGTTTTTTCCATCAGCCAACTAATGGATACTGTCTCTAGATATCTTTTTATTTACTACCATCTTAAAGACCAAGAATTCTCTTAATTAGAACAATCACACTTCTGGCAAAAATAAAAATAAAATCTGAACAAGCTCCCTTTTTTCAGGTCCAACACCAGTATTGATGATCAGAAAACTTCTTAAAAAATATTGTTGTTTTGTGGCTTCGAACAAGGTTTTGATGCAGAACATTAGTTTGTAAGGACCAACCCTTATATGGGCCGCTGCTTGTTATGAAGTTAAAATCTGTCACTTATCGCTCTGACATTTACAAATGTCAGCTGTTCTAATTACTCAGTTTGAAAGCACTGTGGCATGATACCATTAAGAAAACGGTCTTTTAACACTTTAAGACACCGTGTGTGTGTGTGTGTGTGTGTGTGTGTGTGTGTGTGTGTTTATGCACCAACCATTCCATAATCCACTCCATTGGAGATGGTATGCCTCCTCTGCTCTTCCCGACTCCGCCCGTGTCGCCTGGAGCCTCCAGTGAATCCCGTGGCTGATTCGCTCTGAGACCTCGGTAAACCTGATTTCGCAACACCTAGACAAATGTGAAACAGACATTTTCAGCACAACGCCACAGTCTGGAATGCGCTCTGTAATTCCTGCTGAGCATAGCTGTGATGACAGTAAAGCACAAAAACACACTGTGCAATCCTTTAGAAAAACATTTACAAAAGTGAGTCGCTCTAATCATTTAGGAAATTGGACCTACTCAAATATTTGTATTGGGATACAACGTACTTCTGACTGTGATCTTCTAATTCTAGAGCGGTAAAGAAAGTTTTAAATTTTGTTTTACAGTCAGATTGCATTGACACATTACAACACATTTAGAATTATGTGTTGGCCAAACAGTAAAACTTGCACTCAAAGTAAATTTAAAGATATTTACAACTTTAAATTTTAAAAAAGCATGCACTGGATTAGATTCTTGCTCATTTTTCACATCCTTAACCTGTTCAGTCATGTTTTCGTGAGGTTTAATTTGACACTACTGACAAAACATCCACTTGAACTGATGCGTTTGAGCTGCCAGTTTACACCACAGGAGGGCGCTATACTCTGTAAAAGCAGCAGGAGGATATTCATTACATGGTGCACACACTCATGTAGCTCAACAGTTACATCTGAAAAGACAGTAATAAGTAGAAAAAACAAAAAAAAGCTCCCTTAAATACTCTGAAGGGTGCTACCATTCCTTGTTCTTTGTTTGATTATTTTCAGGGTGAGATCACCGGAGCAGACGCAAATATGTCAAGTATGTGTGCTCAAGGCTCTAAAACACACTGTGCTGATTATATCTCTGACATTTCAACTGCGCACAATAATCAACCGGGATTAACGTTATCTCAAAATCACCTATTTGAACAAAGACTGCTAGTGTTTTCCAAGCTGTGAAGTCAGGTGGATAAAGTGTGCAATATGCAAAGTGCCTCGTTTTATCACTCAACAGTTAAAGGATATATTGTTGTTGATTCAGCGTTAGGTTGAGGCCAAGGTGGGGTTTGTTGCAATCGAGAGAAAGAAAAAAGTGTTTTCATTTCCTAAAGAGACAAACTTTCTGTCCACCTCACAGTCCAAACAGGTGTAGAGCTGCCTTTAGCACTCCTAAAATGCTTAAAAAAAGGAAAAGTTGTACATTCAAATTCACGCTAAACCCCATCTGCTAGAGAAGATTAAGCGGTGTGACTAAAAACCAGCTACTAAACAGACCCCATGGTGAGACTCTTTAATCCGCTGCTTCCAAACTGATTTTAACGCTGTTGTTGGTCCCATCACTAAGTTTCTCTGCCCACTTCTCTCCTTCTGTCACAACTCTCCGCTCTTTTGTTCATTCTTATTTTGTTTGTGTCCCATCACAGTAGAAGGACATGAAGGTCTGATGAAGCAGTCTCCAAACTGTCCAAAACAAACATGTATAAAGTGCATCTCAGTGGGTGTGTTTTGTTTTTTTCTGTGGGAATCACCCGTAGTATCTCCCTGTTCTGTTTTATTACTCTCAGATATTTACACTCCCACTGCTTTCCCTAAACCAAGAAATGGAAAAACAGAGAGTGAGGTGTCAGGAATCTGTGATGAAGTTTAGAAGGATTTTAGTGCTGCGGTGAGCCCTGGCCTGTTTGCTGTAATCTGGATTAATCCAACAGGGTTTGGCTGCATTGGAGAGATTACAGCATGCTGGTCACTCTGTAATGTGGTCAAAAGTGTTTGGATACCAACACTTTACACCCATATGTGATTACCTAATGTTGCATGTGAAAACTCTGGGCATTAATATGCTACTGTAACAGCGTGCAATATTCTGTTAAAGACTTTAATACGATTATGGAGTCTGTCTGCAGCCCTTTCAGCAACAGGAACCTTAGTGAGGTCCAGTGTGGATGCAATAGGCTGCAGCTCAGAGTCAGCATTTGATTCAAGTTCATCCCGAAGGTGCACTGTTGTTTAGAAGAGGCCAAACTCAAAGCACTAACTGCTGCTGGTCGAAAGCACACAAAAGTATGTGAACTTTTGCATCTGAGCATTTACTGTATCCATCTATCTAAGTGAAAACCAACACCGTCCTCAGCACAAGTGGCAGCGAATGCCCTGAGGGCTCGACAGAGAGTGAGAGCGTCACTTTTATTATAGCTCCCGACAGGCCGCACTGTGTAGAGATGAAGCCAACTAAGGCAGACTCTAGTTGAGTGCATGTAAGAGAGAGAGACAAAGAAAGAAAGAGAGAGTATGTGAGGGCAAAAATGAACAACAGTGAGTCTGTATGAAAGCCTGCATGTATGAACGAGTTAATGAGCAGGCCAACTTCTCAGTAGCAGCTCCTCCAACCCACATCCAGCACGCTAGAATAAAACTGAACAAATGCATACAAGTGACCAGTCAGAGAGCCATGTCAGGGAAGACTGCGCTCCCTCCAAAAGGCAGACCCTCACGATAGATAAATCTCTGCAGTTCGTGACATGATCTCTGACCTGGCCTGGGGTTAACAACGACAATTATTCAACTGGGCACTCCCGACTGGAGCCGAGGCCCTTAAACAAGCTCTGTTTAAGCAGTGGCACACTACTGATACCCGAGGAGCGTGTTGTCAAAATCCAACAACGACCTTTACTGACCCTCACTGAGATTTTAGAAAAAGACTCCTTTCACTGTTACTGTTTTTAGAAAAACTCCAGCTGAAAGACAAACACTGATGTGCAAAAACTCTGCATATGCTGTGCACTTGTGTGGACATCATGGCTCAGTACATCCAATTAAAGTGTAATAGAGGGCTGAGGCTGGTAAGACTGCAGTGGACTTATCAGCTCAGTTATGCATGCAGTCCTATCTTCATGCACAGTTGAAGAGCAGCTCCAAGCGGGATGGGAGCACTTGAGATGCAGACTGCATGACAGTGAGATATTACATGAACTTTTGAAAACAATATTTTGCTCAACAAAGAATTACGTGACAACAAATGTCCCTATTGCTTTATTTATATTAAAATGATGCAGATTACAGCTTTTAATCTGCAGGTTCTTTGACGTGCTGCTTTTCTGTGTTTTATGACTATATCTGTGCATCAATTTCTGATATTTAGCCTGATTTGAGGACATCAAATTGAACTTTGGGAAATATGATTGGCGTTTTTCACTGTTTTACTAACATTTTACAGTCTAAATATTAATCAAAATGGTACCTTCTGTAAGTGGTGCTGATCATTGCAGCTTTAACTGAATTGGAAACAAAGAGGACTGGATGTATTGAGGTGAATAAACCTGCATGACAGCATCAACTGTGCTGATATGCTGTTTGCATCACTATTAAAAGTAAAAAGCTGTTAAATCTGGGCTTTGACAGGGTCGATCATGTAGATTACTGACATAAGGAGTCCTCTATGAACACTCACAGACAGTTATTTTATTATTTACTAATCATCCTGGTGCCACTTACTCGGTCCTTGGAGCTGAGGTGACTCCAGTGCGAGTGACTCGATGGACCTGCCCTTGCTCTGCTGGGGCTGTGATGGTTTGGTAGGATGTCCCGGTTCGGCACGGTAACACCCTCCTCCACTCTCTGGAGCGACGGGGATCCGTTCCAAACTCCGCCCGGACCTCTCGAAGCCCGCGCCGTACCGCACCGGCCCACACGCGGTGTACGCGGACCCCTCCTCCGGTCGGGCCCGGCTCTGCAGGGAGGACGCCCGGTGCTGCTGGGTGTTCGTCACGTTGCTCGGCCCCAGCGGACGGACCTTGTTCTCGACCCGGGTCCCGACGCTGCATGTGGACAGCGGGGCGGGTTTCTTCGGAGCCTGCTGCGGGTGTACGGCGGCCTGGGCCTTGAAGTGGGAGCTGTTCTCCGGGTTGAGCATGGAGTACCGGAGCCCCGCCACGAACCGCTCGAAGGTGAGGCAGCCATGCGGCGGGGTGACCCTGCGGAGGCAGCCCAGCACTCCGCCCGGCAGCTCCCGGGTGTCTGCGCCCTGCCAGCGGCTCTCGATCTCCGAGATGTGAACGTAGCCGCGTCCGCCGTCATCCAAAATGTCAAAGAGGGTCCTCAGACTGTGCAGGAAGGCTTTGGGCAGGCCATCTGTTGAATACTCCGTCTCTTTGGGCTGCATTTTGGCAGCTTTGAAGCCGTCCGCGGGGCCGTGAAACACGTCTCTCCTCGGCCCAACTCTGCTGTAGGTGCCGGTCAGTTTGCAGCCCTGCTCGGTCGCTATCAAAGCCATGGAGGTGTCGATGCTCAGCGGCCAATCATTCAGAAACACACCGACGGAGGTGAGCTAAGGCTGCCTAAACACACAGCTAAACATACAGAACACTAAAAGGAACCCTAGCGTACTTACAGAAAAAACAAAAACTAATATTTTTTTTATTATTTAATCTAATTTAAACCCTGTACGTCCCTGTTCAGAGGCGCCGCTCCGCTCCGACCCTCCGCCGCTCTCTGATCCAAACTTTCCTTTTTCCGCAGCACCGCCTTCAAACGGCTGTGCGCGAGCGTCCCGGCGCCGGCGATTGGCCGCGGTGTGCACGAGCTCGCCGCTGATTGGCTGCGAGCCGCGGCTCCAGTTTGAGTTGTGCTTTTGTTATTACTGAAGCTGCTCAGACGTTATTCATAGAGCCTGGATATTATTAAAACTGCATCTCTGCTCTGATCAGAAAGTTACCTCACCACCCCCCACCACACACACCCATCCATCATGGAGGACAGAGCTCCTTTGTTTAACTTCATCAGATAACATTAAAGTTGTGATATGCATGAAATAAACTGCTTTTATACTGTTTATATGTCTCAGAATGTCCCTTAGCCTATTATTCCTTGAAGGATTTAACCCTTTGTCTGAATAAAACTGACTAATCCTTATAGAGATCCAAGAAAACCCAAACCCTGTTTTACCCTGCAGTGAGGAGATCTTGTGGTTCTGCACCGTAAAAAGAAAAATCTGTTAAAATGTAGTGGGGGAAAAAACACAATAAAAATGGTTCAAAAACTGTTAAATGAATAGTGACAATAACATCAAATATCTCTAAAATAATATTTTTAAATCTGATTTAAATACAGTAAAAACTTGTAATTTTACAGGCACACCATGTAAAACGTTTTTGTTTCAGATATTGTATACAATTTTGGTCTTTTGTTTGATTTTGTTATAAAGTCAGCACATAAATTAATACTTTTTTTCAATAAAACACCCAAATAGAGAAAATCTGTAAAACAATTAAAAACTGATTTACTATTCCCTGGTGTTTATTATAATTTTTATTTTTCAAATAATAGTAAATCTGATTTAAACAAAGAAAAAAAATGGCATTTTCTGAACAAACATTGTAGAATTACAATTTTTTGATGTGGACATGTAAACTAATACTTATATACTGTTTATGCTGTTGGAGTCATATTACTGGCACATGGTTTAGGTCCACTTGTTCCCTTTTAAGGGACGAGTCACTGCAAATCGATTCAAAGTTGTTCTGATCACCTTTATCCAGTGAAGCAACACTTCTATTCTGGATGGCGTGGTCTCTCTCAGGATAACAATGCGTCCATTCACAGGAGTCACTTAGTGGTTAGATGAGTGTGAAAATGATGTGAATCATTTGCTTCGCAATTACCAGATCTCAACCCAATTGAACACCTTTGGGAGATGATGGACTGATGAGTAAGACATCACTCTCCACCACACTCATCAAAACACCAAATGAGGGGAAGAATGGTGTTTAATCCCTTCATAGAGTTCCAGATAATTCTCAGTGAATCATTGTCAAGCACACTGAAGTTGCTCTGCAGCCCAACGCTCTACTTGATGTTGGTTTTTCCTGTAATTTGTCACTTCAGTACAATTAAAGACAAGAAAAAGGCCTCTGAAATTCCTATAAAACACATTAAGAAGAACCACAGAGGTGCAATGTGTTATATGGTTATTGTTCTACACTGCATTATAATAAATTACAGGTAATCACATGATTGTGTCCCTTTCATTCTGTATTGGAAGCTGTTCATTGCAGCCATACCAAGTTGATTTTGTAGCCTGGACTGATGGCTTTTTAGATCCTGCAATGACATATAAAGAAAAGCTTGTACAACACACAGTTTCCTTCAAGATTAGAATTCAGTATAGTCTTCTAAGGGAATTACAGTATTAGTTGACTTGTTTGTCTGATACGTGAGTTATGTAGTATGACTGTAAAATCTAGGTGAAAGGTTGTGAGATGTTTTTTCCAACACACATTCATTTTTGATGGGATCGCACTTTACTTAATGGCCATGACCTCCAAATGAGACTCCTATCAAGTGGGAACAATGGCTGTCAGTAATCCTGTTAAAATAAAGAGCATGTTTCTTTACCACTTAAGACCCTTTCATCGTGGATCAGCTTTGATATTACGTAACATCATTTCTATTACTGAAAAGTTGCACTCACTCTTCCTGGCTGCACCAAACTTACATCCGAATTTCACAAACCGCAACTATTTCTGACACTTCAGGGACACTTTTTCGGTTTCTCTCTCTTCAGCTGTGAGTCATCCAGAGAAACTGCACAAAACCAATGTTTATCTCTGACCTGCCCGGACTTGAACTCCCATCCCAATCGTCATCCGCAAAAAGACTTGAACCGCTGCCTAACCTGGAAGATGTTGTCACCTTGTCACAAAAGGATTTCTTGTAACACTTAATGCGCACCTTATTTTTCCAGTCAGACCAGATTTTGAGTGACATTTAACCTATTTAGCTTACCGAATGCACTGTAGCCTCTGTGGGGAAAGGCCTAAAGGTTAGGACGCGTGATCAATAAATCCTCTAACAACTAACGTATGGGCTCCCCCTCCCTCTGACAGTCAATCACACACCAGTTGTCCTCGTTAACACATTAATTTATGGGGATTGATTATGGCTGCAGGCGACAGAGAAGGGCCAAGCAGATGACTGGGATTTGATTTTTCCACTAAGTTTAAAGGAAACATGTTTGTTTTGGTTGTTTTTTTGGGGACTTTTAGGCTCAACTGTTACATAATCAAAGACGGAAAGGAAGAGACGCTCACGCTGTCCAGTTGCAGCTCAGCTCGGTGCAATCTTTCAGCTCACAGGGTCAGACAACTCACTCCGTCCCTCTTTCCCATGTTGTCACGCACAGCCGCACAAAACGCACACTTTCAGACACACACTCTGTGGGCTTTGCAAACCGTGCCAGCGGTTTGCCACGCGTGCCAAAAAGGCCGGTCCACGCCGCTGTTTGTTTTGGACGCTCGCTGATCCTCTCCACTGGCCAGACACGCTCTCACACGTGCAGCCTCTTCCCTCATTATCTCCTGTTTGCTCTCCGAGTCTTCTCCTTCGGCTGCATCAGTGTGCATGTGACAAAGGATCTGAGAGCTTATTCGATTCACCGAGCCTGTTTCTTTTAGACAGAGAGAGAGAGACAGAAAGAGAAAACCTTCAAATCTTGGAGGTGTTAAATCAGATTTGAATTACAGTGGGAGGACGAGAGCGAGAGGAATTAAGAGTGGGGGTGGATTCAAGCTGAACAGAGAGAGAAAAGGAATATTAAACCAAAACCGAAATCTTATTCAGGTTTCCTTCACTGTGAAGAATCTTCCATCGAGACGTGTTCTCTTTATCTCTCTCAAACACGCTCTCCGGTTCGTATTTTTCGTCTCTGTGGCTTGAACTTTGGTCGATTCATTCACTTGAGGTGCTAAAGTATGCTTGAAAGGCTCCATTGTTTCAGAGGCCTGCACTTCGTGGTCCAGAATTTATGTTGCTAATACCTCATTGTACTGACAGCTATCCAAATAAAATGGAGTGCAGCTTGAAAGGGCAGAATGTGGTCAGGCAAATGTTCTTTTTCTGGACGTGTTTAACTTCACAAAAGGATTCTGTGCTCGACAGGTTTTTAAGAGCGTTTGATTCACATTTACGAGTGAGTGAGAGTGTGTTTGCAGTTCTTCAGAATGTCAGATGTTAAAACATTTTGGCTTCTATAAAATACTGAACAATCTGTCTTTAGGCTCATCATTTTGTGTGTATTTGGTCTGGTATCATTATGGAGTTGGCAGAAGTTCAACATGTAAATACAGTTTAATCACAACACTGCACAGTCTGCTGCATTTACCTCTGTTACACTCATTCATACAAGCATATTTACATTTTGGAATTTTTCTAATTTTCATACATTTAGCAGATGTAAATAAAACATATAGGTTGAATGTGCACCTTTATTAAACAAAGTATATGTTTCCTAAATATTGAACACTAGATAGACATTCATTTAGACACTGTGCATTTATGTGGGAGCACCTGGTAAACTATAAGCTGCTTAGTTGTCCTATTTTCTCTCTTTGTTTTGTCACAAACATGTGGGTGTCTTTGTGTTTGAGGATGAGGCGATGATGGAGCATTGTGTTATTTACAGCGGTGGAAATTACATTTACTCCAGCAGTGTCTTTTGGTGCAATTTTGAGTTATTTCACTTAAATATATTCATTTTCTGCTGCTGTATACTTCTGCTCCACTACAGTTCAGAAACAGCTATTGTTTTTTTTTTTTTTTACTCGGCTACATTTATTTGACAGCTTTAGTTACTTTGCATATTCAGTTTATTAATGTAAAATATAATTGCCAAATAATTATGATGTAAAGTTATAGATCAAGATAAAATCGTATCGATCCTAGAGGGGAATTTCACCAGCTACCCTGCAGATTAACTATAAACGTCTACTAGATTTATCATTAACTTCAATGATTATATAAATAATTCTAAGCCAATAATCTACATTATTTTGAAATATGCCACTCCACATGATGAGCACATTTAGTTTTGGAGCCTTAAGTATATTCAAGAATAAGTTGAAATGTATGACTTTTACTTGTAAAAGTTAAACAATAGTATTTCTACACTGTGGTATTGGAACGTTTACTGAAGACTTAAGTACTTTTCCACCTCTGGATATTTTATTGTGTTGTATATATTTTCATTATTATTGAGAAGACTTACTGCATTATATTCATCTGCAACGTTCTTCAGTGTACAGTATAACGTTATTTTAACAGTTTTTATCAGGCTGTACATGTTTGAAATCTCAACTGTGCAATTTAAATAATAATAATAAAATACAATAGAGAGTTGGGTTGATTGAGATTGATTTCACATGTTAATGAAGTAGGGCAGCACGGTGGTTAGCACCGTTGCCTGCCAGCAAGAAAGTCGCCCGTTCGTGTCCCAGTGAGGACACCCGGGATCTTTCTGTGTGAAGTTTGCATGTTCTCCCCGTGCAGCGTGGGTTCTCTCTGGGTTCTCCGGCTTCCTCCCACACAGTCCAAAAACATTTTGAGGTTAATTGGTGATTCTAAATTGTCCGTAGGTGTGAATGTGAGTGTGCTTGGTTGTCTGTCTCTAAGTGTAGCCCTGTGATAGACTTCGCCTTCGGTGACGTTCGCCCTAAGTCAGCTGGGATAGACTCCAGTCCCCCACAACCCTAGTGAGGATTAAGCGGCATGTAGATAATGGATGGATGGATGTTAATGAAACTCATCAGTAACATCGCCACTATGTCAGTAGTAGAATGATGGTGGAAGTAAAATCTTCACTGGAAAACACACATTAAGTTACAGAAATAGCTGGTGTCTCCTCCTCAGAGTTTTTGTCAATTTAGTGGCAATGATGATGAACATCCAGCGGCCGAAGGAAACAACAGTAAAATGATTTCATGGTACAAACTCTGCTCCCCTGAGCATTCCACAAAATAGCGACGAATGTCTATTGTTTAAAAGGAAGAATTGCTCCACAATGATTTCTGTCTGTAATGGACATTTTAATTATCAGTTTGTAAAACCAAAACTGCTTTGACTCCTCAGTGACCCATAAGGAGCTCCATTACACATCCTGGAATCTCCCATGAGGCCTACAGCAACAACTAGCGGTTGGTTTTGTCAGTGCAGCATTAATTCTGTCGCATGACAAACCCAACACATCCAAGTAATAATACGGGATCACAAGCTTAACAGCGGATTCCTACTAAAAACCCGAACTAATTCCTGACCTCTGTTTTGGGAAACCCGTCTATTAAGCCACATGTTAATGCTGTTATGAAATTCAAAAGCTCCAGAAGCCACACATGTGGTGCAGAAGAAAGACAGGTGGAAGAACACTGCATTTAAATACAGAAACTCTTTCTATATATGTTTTCTAAAGAGCACTCAGTGAAGTATGTACAGATAAATAACTTTATTAGAAACCAAGTTCATTCCATCACATCTCCATATTTTGTCTTCGCAGGTCCTTGTGATTCTTCTACTTGAGGTACTGAAAGACAAAGACAGAAAAAAGTTTTTAAAAGAACATTTGGACCGGCACACGGTCTTCAACTGATCCATCAAAGTCAAAGTACAGAGTCAGCCCTGAGAAATCTGTTGAGAATGAAAAGCACAGGACCTAAAATGTATTTTTGCTTCACCTACTAAAACATGATGTAAGAAGACAGCTACCATCACAAAGTATTTCATTTCCATGAGAGGGAGAGCGAGCAAGTTCGCAGCCTTACGCTGTACTCACCTGGAGGTGGTGGCGGCGATCTGTCTGGAACTTTGCCTGTTTCTAGCAGCATCCAAAGGTCTGCGCATTTCTGTGCTTCCCAGCGACTCACTGCATAACAGAGTGCTGATGACCCCACTGAAACACAGCAGAGAAGGGTTACAAAGGAGATAGGCAAAAGCTGCAGAGTTGATGTAACTTTTATATTTAAGAGCAAATCCTTTTTTATATATATCTTATAGCCCCAATTTAGAGCCCATGTTTCACTTTTCACCTGTTGTAATAAGGACGTTCCACTGAAGAGGATAAGGGAGTTTCCTCTGTAGAGCCTTCTGAACGGTAAACAAAGCTGTGGCACCTGTAAAAGCGACACAAAGGATAACTCGGTTTTAGCAACAAGAAGAAACATTCAAACTAGATATTAAATCAATATGCATAACATTCATTTCAGTTGTTTTGTTTAAACGTTAATTCTTGTTGCCACTGTTTTTCATTAAACTAATTTCTCGATGAAACTTAAAATAGAAAGCTGTGCAAAGATCTTCAGACGGTAAGCTGATGCCTTCTTTGTTATAATAACTTGTGGGGAGAAAACACTAAATCAAACACAGTTTGTGGGGAGATAAACCGTTAGAGTGGTAACAAATATACACAAAAAAATTAAAGTGCAAGAAGAAAAACATAAATGCAGGTCAGAAAAGGGTCTGCACAGTTTTAGATTCCAAACAGAAATTAAATTGTATTTTAAAGCTTTCTCTTCCTACGTAGTATTATTATAAAACTATTACGATAATACAATCTGTATCGCTCTGTGGTGAGTTGACTTGATCACTGAGTGTAAAAACATATTACTTTGTTGATATCATAAAGTTTTACAGAACACAGCTCCCTCCAGTGGTCTCTACATCACTCAGAAAAGGTTTGTGTGTTTCATAGGTTGTCTACACACATTTAAAAGGTCCTCTCTGCTCATGAAATTAAGTTATATATTTAGAAGTCTTTTTCATGAAAATAATAGTTTATTCCCTCTAGAATGTGAAGATCTATGAAGACTCTGGTTGCCCATCAATTTAGCACAACAAGAATGTAGTTTGAGGTGCTTTTCTACCTCACTATAATAATGTCACAGCACAATTAGTAGTTTCTTTTATATATCTTTTTTATCCTTTCTTTATGTAATTTTCAAACAAAACCTAATAAAACAGTATTGCCTGATTTCTAGAATATTAGATTAGTAAATATGATGTGCATTTTTTCATTTAATTAGTTCAAGGCAGGCTGCAAGCTGGCTCGGTGGTTAGCACTGTTGCCTCGTAGCAAGAAGATCGCCAGTTCACGTCCCGGTGAGGCCACCTGCATGGAGTTTGCATGTTCTCCCCTTGCAGCGTGGGTTCTCTCCGGGTTCTCCGGCTTCCTCCCACACAGTCCAAAAACATGTTGAGGTTAATTGGTGATTCTAAATTGTCCGTAGGTGTGAATGTGAGTGTGCTTGGTTGTCTGTCTCTGAGTGTAGCCCTGTGATAGACTGGTGACCTGTTCAGGGTGTCCCCTGCCTTTGCCCTGAGTCAGCTGGGATAGACTCCAGCCCCCTGTGACCCTAGTGAGGATTAAGAGGTGTATAGATAATGGATGGATGGATAGTTTGAGGTAAATTTACGTCAAAGAGCTAAAACAAAGACTGTCAGTGGTAGATTGCTGTTTCAATTTGAAAATGCTCAGCCACTGTTTTCTCTGCTCATGATATGTCTTCCAGCACATGAAAAAAAAAACATAATGTTGTCCTGTTATAAATAAAAGTTGATTTTATGATCAGAACAATACATTTTTGCACATCAATTCCATAAGACAGGTGCATAGAAGAGGAGCGAGTAGATGTCATGTCTTCCTGCACAGTGTCTGGTTGAAACTTCTGAGCACCAATAACATCAACAAAAAGTACTTATAGGTTTGTTAGCTCAGTGATCGATTTAGAGACACTAATTTCTTTGCTTCTACTTCTCTGTATTTATGACTATTATTGCTCTTGTATTTTTGTGGAATGTTTTTGTCATGTCTTGTTGTTATTGTATTGACTTATAGACCAGTTACTTTACATTTTACTTCACATTCTGTACAAGCAAATAAAAACGTCTTGAGAAACATGTCAACAAAAGGTCAAAATAGAAAACACAGGGTACTATTTGTAAGTGTGAGCTGACTGTGTAATAATTATACAATAAGAAATGGCAGTAGAGTGTATGTTTTAGTGTGACAATCACCCAGCATGATGGCCGCAGTTCCCTTCATGAAGGCAAAAGACTGACAGGCAGCGTAGCTCTGCAAAAACTGAAACACGAATAAACAACGAATATATCAACGTTTACAACATTTTCTTGTCGTATATTACAAATGTGTGAGTAGTATATCCTGCAGCTGGTTGTTTGATGTCAAAGTCAGTGTCCTCCAGGCTTTAGCGGGCTGCTAACATGAGATAAAACCGGTGAAAACTGAAGCTCACCGGGTGTTTTGCCGCCACCGCGTCGTCCACTTTACTCAGACCGAGATTCACCATGTTGATACGGAGCTGGAGGTTCGCGTTTTTAATGTTAAAACTAACAATAGCTCGTGCTGACTGACACTCTGCTGTTCTCTCCACTATGTGCGTGTACTGTTATGCAATTTCCGTGTGGAGGACCAACAAACAGCGAAGAAGAGCGGAGCAGCGGGTCTGAGTAAAACACCAGCGACCCCTAATGGAGGGAAGGTGGAACTGCAGCTGCTCCCCCATTAAAACACAAGGGGAAGAACTTGTGGAGATCATTTAAGGAAAACAAACACTACACAACAGAAAAATCAATAAATACATAAATAGCTATAGTAATTTATAGACAGTGCAAGTTAAAATGTAAAAAATGCAATAATTAAATAATTTCAAGAATTTACAAGAAGTTAAAACCTTTAACTAGCTTTAACAAAAACTGGCTTTTTATTTCCCTTTATTTATTCTGAGTATTATTCTGTAGCCTTGAAAACGAAGTGCGTGTTTCAGAAATGTGTTTGTCTGCTTTGTCGTCCTTTCAAACACCACAGGGCCCCTCATGTTTGTCTTCCCAGATAGCAGCTAATGTTTCCACAACATTGGCTAACATTACCCAGAAATTCTAATATTGTTTCAAAGAAAACGTTTTAATCCAATGTTGAAAGAAGGTATTCGGGATATTTCTCATTCCAGATAGTGTTTGTATGAGGTTAAATAGAGACAGAACATTTTAATTGGTGCATTGAAAAGGTGTTTGGAGGATGATCAGGGTTGTGTGACATGAAAACAAAAGTAAAACGTTCTTGACCAACATTCAAATAAGGTCCCAGAAGACAGAATGTGTGTGTTTTTTTATTATTATAAAATGTTAGTGTATTGTGGCATATTAACAAAGGTAGAACATTTTGTCTGCAATATTCTTAGGATGTTTTGGGGATGTTATTGAGGTAACACATCACCTTATATAGAAAAACGTCTATAACGAACTTCGTCCTGCCTTTAAGAAGAAATCCAGGAACTTAAATAAAAGACCTTCTGGATGAAAACATTACTTGAACTTTGCAAAACCTTCTCAGAATATTTTTAGAGCAAAAGAAAAATAAATTCTAGCTGAGTTGGAATCCTTTGAACAGTCCTGACCACAGGTTCAAACCACTGACCTCCACTATTAAAGCTGCTGTTGCTATTTTGAGAACAAAATATTCAAACTAATTGTTCCTCCAACCATGGAAAAAACAAAGCTATAATATGAAACCCTATTGTGTATTCTGAGTATCTATTTTTTTGTTAAACCTGTGAATAAATGTAAACTGCAGCGGCGTGACGTTTCGGGCCCTTCAGGCCTTTTACGACCACACACCCGCTGACCTCTGTGACCCCGCTGGTGAACTCTGACACCGCAGTGACCCGAGAGAGGGGAAGAGTTGTGCTGAAGACGGGATTTGTGCGGGAAGAAGAAGTAGAAGATGAGGCAGATGGAGAGAATCCAACTACTGCTGAGACACAAGTAACAACAGAGAGGATAAAGTTACGAGAAAGCCACAGCAGAGCAGCCGGACATCTGTTACTTGTTACACAGAAGAAAGAACAAAGAACAGAGATGGAACCATAAAACCATTGAGATTATCAAGAGAACGTGTTTCAGTGTGATGACAGCCATGACAACCTGACAGGTAGATACAGCTGTGCTGTTTACATGTGATACACAGCAATGGAAAGTAGCTAAATACATGTACTCAGGTTTGATCAAGTGTAGTTTTGTGGGGTTTTATTTTACTCGAGTATTTCCGTCTAGTTCTACTTTATACATTCACATTGCATTTTTACTGCTATTTTTTTAGGATAAGACTTTAACATGTAGATTTTATCATATTTATAGAGAAAAATACATATTAATGATTAAATGAGTGATAAATCAAGTCGTTATTTCGTTGCCTCAGCTTTCTTTAAAATAAATTTTCTGAATTTTCATAACAAAATCAAAGATTATGTAAAAGTATGCAATTTTTTATTTCACTTTATTATTACTTTTCTATATTGTTATTATTATTGTTATTTTTCTATATTATTATTATTATTATTACATTTTTCTTTTAAAAATCAACAAAAAATATAAAGAAAATAACAATATATATATATATTTTAAATATAGAAAAAATATTAAAAGCTTTAAAAGTAAAAATAAATAATAAATATCAATAAAATAAGAATAATAAAAAAAAAAACAAACAAGAATAATAAAAACTAATGAAAAAAAACAAACAAACTTACCTACTGTGGTAATATAACCCTAAATGTGACATCCCCGTCTGGTCTTAAGAGGTTAAATAAGAAGACGTTTGTCTCACAGAACGTTGCCGTCTCCTTTTTCTTCCCCTTTAATCATCCCACAACCCCTCTGATTTATCCACAGACCCTCTTTACAGCCCGACCCCCAGGCCAGGGAGCCAGAAGGCTGAACCGAGCAATAAATACTGAAAGCTCTACTTCAAGGAGCCATAATAGTAAAAAGCAGCCTTCACGTTGTTATATCAGTAATAAGAATCCGACAGTGTCAAGCAGAGTATTACATCACCGATGACAATAATTCTGCACTTTTACTTCAGCAGGGTTTTAAATGTAGAGCTTTTACTGGTGTTGGAGCAATGCCATTTATATGTAGTGCCAAATGACAGCATTGGCCTTCTCAGGGCGCTTCACATCGTAAGGTCGAAACTGTTCAATATTAAAGTATGTAGAGAAACCCAGTGATTCCTGTTGAGCAAGCAGGCGGCGACAGTGGGAAGAAAAGACTGAAACCTGCACAAGATATGCAGGGAGGGAGACCATTTGCCTTTGGGGTGAGGGGAAGGTAAAAAACAGATAAAAACAGAGGGTCTGAGGACCACTGCTGGTGATGAACCTGTGCTGACCTGTCCAGGTTGAAGCCTCAGTTATAAACTCCAGTCCTCTGCTCGCTCTTACCTGGATACGAAGGTACGTAAAAAAAATACAAATAAAAAAGTCTGCTTTAATTATGAACAAGAACAAAAACAAAAGCACTAATTGAATTTTGAGGAGGATTAAGCCTTTCGAAGGTGTTACATTAACAGTAATTAAAACCTTTCAGTACAGTATTAAGATATAATTTACATTTTGCCTCATTAAGGCTTCCAGGAGTGAATAATGTGTGTTCAGGTTAAATCATTGATCTGTTTGGCAGGAAAAAGTTGTTGATATTTCTAGTCCATACCTCATCTAACTTCACAGATCTATTTGGATTTTGTTTTCAAGGTAATTTATTATTTGTTTAGTTGATGAAAGCCTAAAAAAATAAAATCTCCTTCAAAATTTCCGAGAGCTCAAAATGATGCATCCAAACTGCTTATTTTATTAAACCAACAGATGTATTGAACTTACAGTCATATTAATGCTCACCGCAGCTGGAGGTGGAGAGAGCTGAAAAATCTCCTCTGGTCAGTATAACAATGCCTTAAGCCATAAAAGATGAAAAAAAACTGAAGTTGAATTTGTTTGATTAGCTATTTCACAAAAATTCGAAAAACTGGCATCAGCATGTACAGTATTTTTCCAAGTGTCTACCTGCAGTTTTAATTTGTTTTCATGTTGGTTTCCTCTCATCCATTCATCCATCCATCATCTATACAGCGCTTAATCCTCACTAGGGTCATGGGGGGCTGGAGTCTATCCCAGCTGACTCAGGGTGAAGGCAGGGGACACCCTGGACAGGTCACCAGTCTATCACAGGGCTACACTTAGAGACAGACAACCAAGCACACTCACATTCACACCTACAGACAATTTAGAATCACCAATTAACCTCAACATGTTTTTGGACTGTGTGGGAGGAAGCCGGAGAACCCGGAGAGAACCCACGCTGCACGGGGAGAACATGGAAACTCCACACAGAAAGATCTCAGGTGTCCTCACCGGGTTGTGAACCGGCAACCTTCTAGCTGCGAGGTGACAGTGCTAACCACCGATCTACCTTGGATACTTTTTCTTAACTGACTGTTGGTCAATCATGGCTTCTTACTTGTGCTGAGAACTGCAGCTTTTTTTTGTCTTTCAAAGGATCTAGTTTGAGTCTATTTTGGCAAATTTTCAGTTCAAATGATGAAATATTGTGATTTTAAGCTTAAATTTGTTTAGTTTTTCCAACTGAACTACATGCCACAAACTATAAACAGTGTCTTGCTCTAACAAATGGCACAATTGTGGCAGATTTTTTAAAAAACAACATGCCGTTTTTTAAATCTGATGGTGGGTTTTGGGATTCAAATGGTTAAACAGAAAGAAGCAAATCTTCAAATATGCAAAGCTGGAACTGACATATTTACCATATGACTAATTAATTACCAAAATTACTTCAGATTAATCAACTAATCAATTACCTGAACACATGTTCAGGAATTTTACATGTATCTTTAAAAAAAAAAACACCAGTTATGACATTCAGAGCTGCAGAATGTAAAAAAATATGGCGACAATCTCAGAGGTCTTAATGAATGCATTTATATTTTTGGCAGGTTTAATACTAAACCAATGTAAACTAGTCCTTTACTTCTTGAGTGCAATGAGATCTAAAAGCAAACTACTAATTAAGAAATACTGCATGATAACGTCATTTTCCTTTATCTGTACCTGCAACTTATGCTGGTTCTGTCTCAGCACTTAATTATAATTACTTGAAGATTAACACAGTGGTTCTCAAACTGGGGATCGGGACCCCCATAGGGGTCCCAAGATAATTTCAGGGGGTCCCCAGATCATTTAAATAAATCAATCAATCAATCAATCAATCCTACATTTATCAAGTACATTAGTATTTAGGGCTGCCACAATTAAAAGTGTAGACTTCTTCCCAATTCGTTTTTGAACTTGTCAATATTATGATTTGATTATGTGATATTCTTTTTTAATGCTCTTTTTAAAATTATTTTCTTTTGTTTTTATATTTATTTTCCCTTTAATTTGTTTGAAATAAATTAAATTCATTCATTCAAAAGAAAGTTAACATGTTAATGTAAAGAGATTAATTTGTGGCATTCATTTTTAACACATTAATGCATGAACCACAGAGTTATTACTCATGAGATATTCATAATTCAAACTGGGGGGGTCACGAACACAAACTTATGTTATCTTGGGGGTCGTGGCTCAAA